TCGTAATACTTGCAGTTTCTTTCTTTCTTTCTGCCGGGCTTAGGGGTCACTATCGTGACCCTCAGGCTTTCAGCCCGCCCGTCCACCCACTGTTTTGGGAGTGGACGGCATTGGGGTCCCACTGACCGCTGCACTTACTACCGAGTATGTGTCAGATTCCCGAGCTGTTACCCCCCGACCCCGAACACTAAGACAACCCCAACCCGCCTCTTCCCCGCGCCCCTTTGGCAACCATCCAGAGGTTTACAGCTCGGTAACCGGAAACATGGTCTCGTGTGTGCACGCGGAGCTTCATCAAACACGTGACATCCTAGGCTTGAAAAGCAAGCAACTGAAGCTCCCCGTATGTTTGAAAGTGAAAAGCAGAACACGCGGCTTTCCCCCGGAACATTAAACAGCATACCTATGCTAGCGCCTGGACCTGGTTGTCACTAGCCTGCGTGTTGCAACTGGGGTGTCAGCTCAGGCCTGTGTGAAAACAATCCCCCCGTACACTAGAACCTAGAACGACACGTCGGCTCTCAGAGCTGTTCCCCCTGTGTAGGGTGCAGGGCCTAGTTGGGGTCCACTTCGCGGCCTCATTCACAGCAAAACGGTAGCCTACCACAAGGCTAGATAGGTTTACCATGGGCCCCCAGGCTGTGCGGGCGACGTCGGGGGCAGCTCGCGAAAGCAAGCTTCGCTTCGCCTAGAAACCGTGAGCGAGTTGCTCCCCCGTTTCGCTGCACTGCCAAAGGTTCTACTGTACGACTCCCCCGCTCACTGGACGTGGTGGAAGACCCCGAACACAAAAGGCCCCCGAACAAAGCACCCCCTAATCATCTTGGTCGAGTGAGCTGGGATTGCTAAACCGCCTGCGTGGCTCACCTGATCTTGGGCTGGGCGCGTCAGTAGGAGATCTCCCCCGGCTGGCGTCTGCGGTTGTAGTAGGTCGCGAAGAACTGGCCGCCGGCTCCCCCTCTTCCACTATCTCCACTACTTCGTTGCCCCCCATGTAGGCTGTCCCCCAAGCGTCAAGCTCTTGAAGGGCGGCACGAGCTTCGTTGAGTACGTCCCCGACCAGGAAGGGCAACAAGTCGCGCAGCCGGCGTCTTGCTCTGAAGAGCGATCCCGATAACGTCCGCTGGGTGCACGGCCATGGTCTCATGTTGCGGCGTGTGGGGATAAAGCCCCACTAGCGCCCCAACCCCCTCGGCTGCCTCCTGAAGTAGGTTGCGCAGGCTGCCAAGGCTCTCCTGCCCCAGCGGGTAGCTGTCTATGAGCATTTGGAGGCGTACTTCTGCGTCTTCAGCTGCGTCCGTGGCCACATGTGTGGCTTGCCAGTTGGTGGAGCGCACTCCCCCCCATAGCAGTGCTTGGCCGCTGAGTGCTAGTTCCAGCACCTCTGCGAGCTCCCCTTGTGTAGGTGGGTCGCCTGCTTGCGCTCGTTCATCCAGGATCCCCACCACCAGAGCCGCGATCTCGAACGCATTGGGTGTTGGTGGTGGGGTTCGTCCCCGTCTCCCCATTCCCCCGTCGGCTGCCAGACTGAGGCTGGTCGCTGCGGCTGCAAGGTGAGGCAGTTCCACAGACCGGGCCAGTCGCATGCCTTCTTGGATGTGGTCCCCCGCGCTGGCTGCGTTGCGGGCTGCGGTTTCTCCCCGCACTCTCGGCTCCCCTTGTGCTCGCCTATCTCGCACTAGGTGCTCGTCGTCGTCCATGCTTTGGACTTGGGCCACAGCTGCAAGTGTTTCCTCACTTTCACTTCTAAGCAGGGCTGAGGCTTGGCTTCGGGCCTTCTTGAGCTCCCCTTCTTCTGCGCTCTCTCCCCTTCTTTTATGGTTGTCGTCGGGGAGTGTGCTGTTGTTTGCTTGTAGTGCATGACGTCTTCCGGTGTCGGTGGCTGTTGCCGGTTGGCTCGCCGGTTGTGGTGGGTTCCACGGCAGCGTTGGGGCATCTGCACTGGAGTTGTCGTCGGGGCATGTGGCTGGTGGTTGTGCTGTCCCCCTGTGGTTGCTGGACTCAGCTGCTGCGCTCGCCGGACGGGTGTGTGTTGTGGGGGGGTTTGTCTGCATCAGAGATTGGTCTTCCCCCTGGGGAGGGTCTTCGCTGGGCCAGCTGGTCTCTGAGTCGCTAGGTGGTTGTGGTGGTGGTCGTTTGGGTTGCACCGTTGGTGCTTGGTAGCTGCTGGCTGGTTGGAAGGCAGACCTTGCTGCTGGCGAGTAGAAGGAGAAGCTCCCCCCTGTGTTTGCCGTGGCTGCAGTGGTTGGGGGTGCTCCCTTGCTGGGTTTTCCTCTGCCCTTCCCTTTTGCCTTCGTGGATGTGGCTGTCGGTCGTGGTGGCTGTGGTTTGTCTGTCCCGTCCACGGCCGAGGGGTGTGGGCCACCAAACCCCTCCGTTAGGCGCTCGTGGTTGGGATTCGTGACTGGCTTGCCGTCTGGGTGTGTAGTGTTGCTTGTCTCTGGTCCTGCCGCTGTGTCTGGAGTGGTCTGCCGTTGGTGGTGTGTTTGTTCCCCCCTGCGTGGGGGGGGACAGTGACTGTGGTGTGACTGTTGCGGCTGCTGCGACATCTGGTTGTCTCTGAGGAGTGGTGGTGGCTTGGCTCTGCACCTGTTGTGCACTGTGGTGGTGCTGCTGCGGTGCGCGATTGGTTGTGGGGTGGCTTTGGCTCTGCACTTGTTGTGCACTGTGGTGTTGTTGCTGAGCCCCCTGCCCGGCTGAAGTGGGTAAGTGGGGTGTTGGGAGTTGCTGCTTTGGCTCTCAGTGGCTGTAGCTGTGGCTGTGCTTGCTGTCTCCCCTCAACATGCGGCCCAGGGTAGATTAGGGGCTGTGCCCCCGGCTGTTGGCTCTCCTGGAGTGCTCGCTGTCTGTGCGCTCTGGGCGCGTGCGGGTCGAGCTCTGTGGCAGCTGCACAAGGCGCCTTGCCCCCCTGATTGCAGCCAGGGCGACAGCGTCCCTGTCTAGTTGCGACAGTTCATGTTCCTGCATGTGTGCGCTAAGCTGGGCGTCTCCCCAAAAGCTCTCCGTCGTCTTGGTCCATGTTTTCAATCCTCCAGCATTGCCCCCCTTGTTGCCATGTAAGCCGGTAGTGTCCAGGCCCCATGCGGAGACTGCCAGGTTCCGGGACACGTGGGGTGGCCCTAATGAAGAGGTGCTGGTCCATGGCCCCCCAGTGGGTGCAATTCAAATTGCACCCCAATGCTCAGCGTCTCCCCTGCTGCCTCCTTCTGCCGTCTGCCGCACCCTAGCAAAGCCCCTGAGGCGCGCGGTGTTGTAACTTGGCGTCGACGGCGAGGTGCGGGCTAGCACTGCCCCTGCCCAGCCTCGCTCCTACGTACCTGAAGTGTGCATGGGCAAATCTGCTAAGCGGCAGCTCGAGAGGGAGCGAGCTTGGGGGGAGATACCCCCCCCAGGAGCCGACCTTGAGCTACTGGTCATAGTGGCAGTGTTGCTCTCCTCCTGGCTGCTGCGTGCTTCGGCTGGTCGTGGGTCCTGTGCTGCTGGTGTGGTGGCGGTGTTTTGGTGGTCGCGGCTGGCTGGTGTGGCTTTGGGGATGGCTGCGCGCCCCTGTTGTTGTGGTTGTAGTCGCTGTGGTGTTTGGGCGTATGCGGTCGCACTGCCGGTAGCTGCTGTGGGCTGTGGCTCCCCTCCACTGGCTATGGAGGCCTCTGCGGTTCCTGTTGTGTCTGGGCTCGGTCTGTTATCCTCACCCCGCTGAGCTGCTGGTTTCTTCCCCTCTTGGTCTGCTTGTCGTGGTGGTGGCTGTGTATCTGTGGTGGCAGCGGGTACTTGCTGGTGTGGTGGGTGTGGTTGCCATGGCCGGTCGGCCTGGCTGAGTAGTCGGCTGAATTGCTCTCTGCTCTCTCTGTGTCTTCGTTCCGCTTCGGTTTCTTGCTTGCTCCCCCGCTGGGAGGGCTCTGCTGCAGTGGTTGCTGGCACTCCTGCAGTGTGCTCTTGCTCCTCTGCTTCGTCGTCTTCGTCGTCTTCTTCGCCAAAGGCTTGCATGCCCACGAGGTGGGCGACTGAGTTCCAGGTCGCTCCAGCTGGTTTCACCAGCCCCCTCTTCTTGAATTCCTTTTTTATCGCCCCCTTTTGCCATTTATTTCCTCGGCGCTGATCTCCTTGTCCTTCGTGCTGGGGTGTCCCCCGCTGCTGGCTTGTGGTGCCTTCCCCTGCGTCTGCTGTTGTGCTTTCTCGCTCGGGGGCATGTTCCAGTTCTTCGTGTGGCTGTGGTGGTCTTGGTGCCGGTCCCCCTGCTTGGTCAGCAGGTTGGTTGCTTGTACCCGGGTCGGCGCAGGTTGCCCCCCCTTGTGTTGCCGTACATGTGGGGCCGTGGTCTTGGTCTGTAGGGCTGGCTGCGGTGTCTGTGGTTCGGTCCACGCTGTTGCGTCGTTGTGGTTGTGGCAGTGGTTGTTGGGGGGGCGTTCCCCCGGCAGTGGGTCGTGGCAGTGTTGTCTCGAGTGGCATCCTGCACTCGGCTGTGGCTGTGCTTGTGGGGGTGTCGTGTCTTGGTGCCAAGGGTCCTTGTCCGGGTCGTAGACCAGTGCGAACCTCCCTCCGTCGGCTCCATGCACCCAGCCAGACCAGGTGGTGCTAGATGCTGGTTCCGTCCACTGCTGCCCCCAGCCATTGGCGTACTCGTGGTTCTGGCCGTAGTCGCTGCTGCCGCTGCTCCCCTGTCCTTCCGTTGGTTGCTCGCTGCCCGTCTGTTTGTTTTGTTTTACACGCCGCCAAGGAGATCCAGGCTGTGCGACGGGACGTGTGGTCAGACATGTACATATGACGATGTCCGGTCACTAAGCGTAAGCTTGGCATACTCGCAGAGCGACGCACACTTGTGCACCATCCCATAGACAAAGTCAGCAGCTCCCCGCCGCGAACGGCCCGATAAGAACTGCTGGGACAAATGCGATCACATATACCAAATGATTCGGCAGCACTAATGCTATTGCAGCTGGTCGAAGAGTGTCCACCCGAAGACATCGTGAGCAAAATCTAAACTGAATCATTCTCGTCAAGCCTCACTCCTCGGCTTCGTCCACCTGTTCATCTGCTTTGGCTCTTGCCACTTCGGGTCGCGCTGACCCTTGTAGCTGAAAGCCCAAGTCCCGCAGAAAAATTCGTTGGGCCTGTGACAGTTTGTCGGTGGATTTGGCATGGAAGGCGATCAGGATGACTCGGTTGCCATCCGACCACGGGTACGTGGCATGTGGACAGCGCGGGCAGAGCACATGAAACGGTTTGGCAATGGCCATCAGGCGTCCTGGACCAGTACAGTCGTCCACGAACATCGACCCAGTCGGATGCGCTTCCCACAGTTGGCCTCCGCGCCACCTGCTGCATGGAATGATAATGTTCTGTGTCCCAGTGGCATTGGCGCCATCTCTGTGCAGAAATGATTGCACATTGAACGCCAAAGTACAGGAACTGAAAGCGTAGGCTTCCGTAGCACCGCGGACCAGTGAAGTACACCAGATTGCAAACCATGGGTACGTCGTGGTATTGGTCTGGATCCCATAAAGCCCACCTCCACCAATAGAGAAAGCGCCAACTGAAATAGACCTTCGCAAGTATCCGTCATGCCCATCTGAAGTCTTAAACTTGCGTCTGCGAGCCGCCTGCTGGTTGGGTAACAAGGGTAGGGCCGCCATAAAGTCCGAAAGATAGCTGCATCCGCGAACACAGTTATTGAAGGCTAAATGTTCAAGTGCTGGTGCCTCGGCAAGTGGTGGCGGCAACCGCAGCGGCGAGGGTAATCGAAGAGGAAGCGGAAGAAGCGCCTCCTCTGCTGTCATATTCCAGAGATTTTCCCAAGCAGGAGATGCCCCGTCGCACACGGGGAGCACAGAGTAACATGTGCAATCCGACGCCTGATCCGATGCATGAGCGGATACCGAATCAGATGCCAGATCGGAGCCGGAGCCGTCCGAGCCTTCCGCCAAGTCACCTTCTGTCCCTGAGTCCAGGAGTGTATCTACCGGCGATACAGCACGTATGGCATAAGGTGCATGAGGTGCTTGAGGAGGATCGTCACCTCCAACACCATCGCTCCTGCTGTCTCCGGCCTCCATGTCCACATCCTCATCCCCGACCATCCCACCATCCCGTTCTACATCCAAAATCTGCGACTGAGAATCTGTCCTGGGAGAGGAAGAGGGCGATGAAGAGATGCGTGTAAACCTGGGATGAGCTGGCCCCAAGATTGACGGAAGCTCAAGGTCCCACAACTCCTGCGGTACGTCGTCGGGTTTCTGCGGCCACATGTGGCCCCGCCTGCACTGTGGTGGTGGTGACAGGTGGATGGTGGAATGCGGTACCTGGGAAGACAGCCTAGTTTGTGGGAGACATCATGGGGTGGGGTTGTGAGGTAAGAGCTAAGGGGATGTGTATGTAGGATTTTTTTTGGTTTTTTTTTTGACTACGCCTATGTCATGCTCGATAAAACATGCCTGGCTGCTTAACCCTGCACCTGCAGCCACAGAGCAGCGCATGGAGCGAGGATCGATACAAGCAAGTTGAAGGGACATGGCGTAGGCACGAACACGTTGCAAGCTTGCGAATCCGGCATCAGCAGTGACGCCCTTTGTACTGCGGAGCTGAAGCCCTGCATCCAATGATCGGATGCACTCCCCGTGCCAACCTGGCGGAAGAGAGGGGTCGGCAGCTCGACGCAATACAAAGGGAAGACATGTGTGTGGCCGTGCCGGGACATGCGCCTAGTGTCTAGTTGGCCGAATCCCCCCGCCGGCATATCAAGAGATAGACCTGGCGTGAGCTGTACATAACGGGGCTCGTAGAGTCCGGAGACCGAGCGCGCGGCTTGCTGTTGTCGTCACAGATCCATGCCTGAGCATCGTTCTGCAGCTGTGTAGTGTAGTGGCCACATGTGGGTTGCCCACCCTGATGATGCAAGGCTGCCGTGATGTGATAAGGCACAGTGTGAGACTCTATACCGGTGGGGCGGGTACCAGAGTCAAACACTGGCACATGTATGCGCAACCCCCAGCTAATTTGTCCTACATGTTTCCTAACGCTTCGGCGGGTGTCTACAAACCGGGAGAACCTAAGTAGCAAAACCGAAGGTGGCGAGGTGAGAGCATGTACGTGATGTTGGGTGTGCCACTCATGCAACAACTGCTGCACTGCGACCGGGGACTGATCTCTCGGAAGTTCGAGAGTGATGGCCGAACAGCATTCACCGCCATCATGTGTGACAATGCCACTGAGCTCAGAGCGACGCGACTCCCAGCCGCCCGCAAAAGCCTGCGGGCTTAGAAGCGGTATGATATGTGAGAGCAGCTCCGCTGCATCATGCTGGCGATGGGGCTGTGCCCAACATTGCAACAACTGCCTCCATGTGGCATCACCTAGCAGAGCGAGAGGAGTAGGCGAGGGCGTAGTGATGAGGGAAAGCGCCTGGCATCCTCTAGCCGTGAGCATTGCCAACAACTGGGAATCCCTGGCAAAGGTCCATGCAAGACTTATGGCTGCTGAATTGAGATAGCAAACATTGGTGTGATTGGTGAGAACGACCCGCCTTATCCAATCAGCTCCTGGATGCGCCGAATCAGCGGTGGCCGATTGTAGCCCTCCGGTCGGAACTGAGTGCCGATCGTCTGGAAGAGCGCTGAGCCGCGGAGCCGGACCAGTTCCGCGTAGAGCTCGTCTGAACCCGGAGCCCGGAAACTGATATCGGCTTGGAAAGTCACCGTCCCTCGCGTCTCCTGGCGAATGTCCTGGGTCGCCGCAAACCTGGTGATCGTGTCCCCATTGACCTTCTCCAGCAGCGTGGTCAGCGACTCGAGCGCTGATCCCATCCCCAGCGGGGTACGACCTTGGTCCACCACCAACGCCTGATGCGTGGGATTCCAGCGCTGATAGTTCCAGCAATGCGTGTCGGTCAGCCAACCGCTCTGCACTGCAAACGCCTTCTCCGCCTCCGTGAGGTTCTGGAGCTTCTCCTTGAGGTGGGTTAAGATGCCCCACAGCAGCGTGACCCTTAAGCTGACTCGAGAGGCCGGGGTGAGAGCCACCTTGTGCCATTGATCGGCCAGTTCCGTCAGCATTGGCAGAATGGAGTTGTCCCCGGCCTTGATCCAGAAGACCCATCCTGTGGAACGGCGAAGGATGTTCAAGGTGTCCTCGTGACGCACCGCCGCCTTGGCTACCAGAAAGAGAAGTTCCCTCTCTTCCTCCTGATCGGCCGAACCATTGGCGAAGGGATCGCTGCCCGCTCCCCCCGAGCTGATCGGGCGACTTTGCGGCTGTGCACGACGACCCCTGCCCAAGTAGCCCTTGCCCTTGCCATGTTGGTCCACTCTCTGTCGGCCGGCTTTCTGCAGTCGGTCGTCTATCTTCGCAGTTGAAGGCAGGGAACCGGCCGGTGCTGCCGCCCTCTTGGCTCCCACTACACTCCCGAAAGACTCTCGGAGTTGGGACATCACGTCCTCCGGAGTCTGGGGTTCCCCGAGCGCCATCTTCAGCGATCAGACTAAGAACACAGCTTTGCCACAGATTGACACAGTGGTCCAAATGTGGCGTGACATGTCTATGGGATCTGTTACAGTATAGGCATGGATTCATGGCTACCCCCACTCGTTGCGGAAGCTTACTGGCTCTGTGCGCGACCTGATCCAGGAGCGCGCGATGTTGCGATCGATAATGATTACGGACAGCAGTGGGCGTGGCAAGCCACTGCCCACACAGACCACAATGGTGATGCAAATCTTTTAATACCTGATGCCGCAGCAATCCTCTGAGGCCGACCTGCTGCAACACTTGAAGGACCTGTGCAGGCAAGGGGAATGTGCCGGTCAAGGCATCTGCAAGAACGTCCTTGTCTCTACAAGGATCCAGGGTACATGCGCCTGTAGCAGTCAACGAGGCCTGCTGCGGAGACATATCGTCTGATCCTGGTATTGGGTTTCCAATGGCTAGGACGGTGGATGCGACTGTGGAAGAGTCAATGGCTGTTGGTGTCAGCGCTGAGCTCTCAGGGACAGTTGTAGGGACTGGTATGGTGATGGTCCTGACATGAGAGGACGGGAGTGGCATCTCTGTGCATCCCCAATTGTTGATGTGCTTGGCGAGCACCTCCCACCTCGTAAATTTGTGCTTGCAAAAGGCACAAGTGGGCAGTCCATCCACTGAGTGCTTTGCCCGATCAAACGGCTGCACCGGCAGCTTGACCTTATGAGCCGACGCCATATGCAGCTTCAGGGATTTGCGAGTCGTAAAGGTGCGCTGACACTGCGGGCATCCCATCGTTTCTGGCTGTGGTGACCCGAGTGACGGTGTGGGTGGTGGGAAAGGAACCGTGGCAGGGAGCACATCCGGAGTAGTCAGTGAGGAAGCACACGGTTGATCTACGGGGCGGGGGATGTCACTGGTCTCCGAGGGCAACCCCGATGTGGGCGCAACCGTTGCTGCGGTCGACAGTTCCTGGGGAGTAACAAATGGTGGGCTAGGTGCAGGGTCGTCCCTAGATTCTCGCAGACATTGTGAGAGATGCTGATTCCACGGGTGTTCGTATAACAGCACATGACAATCGTCTGGTTCTTGTCTGCCAAAAGCAGACTCAAAGACCTTCCGTAAAGCAGTCCTGGGAAGAGGCACACCTAATCTTTTGCTGAGGTCCTCATCGGATTCATGTGTAAGGTGAGCTGGGCTCCGCGCGATGCCACGCAAATGACGCATGACCAGGGTCTGGACCTGAGCGATCTGGTCCGATGAAAGCCCACACACCTCTAAGCCATAAGACAGACATGGCCACACAGTGGCTCTCCACAGCCTAGTACGATGAAGAACGGTAAGGCTGCGATAGGCATGGAGAACATTTCGGAGTCTGGCATGTGTGGCTTTGGCTTGCTGAATTCGCTTCTGAAGTGTGGCGGCTGCTGACGAGCCATAGGTAGTGACCGCTCCGAGATACGGGGCTTGTTTCACCAACGGGAGAAACTCATCCCCTTGCCTGGTGTGGATGCGTAGATGCTTGCACCCGTCAATGGCTTTGGTGAGTTTTTGCAACGCCGTGCTGCGCTGGGTGCCTTCTGCAGTGAGAATGCCCTGGGCTTTAGTGGCATGTACGCTCATGCCATGCGATCGGAGTGTGGTCATAACAAACCCAATCTGTGAGCAAGCTAGCTCCAGTTCAGCATATCCATGAAAGACCTTTCCTATGTGGAAGTCATCAGCAAAGAGAGTGAGGCACCTGTCTACCCATCCGTGTTCAAGCCTGTTACCAATACGTTTGGTGACAAAGGTCATGAAGCAGGCGAAAAGTAGAGGGCTGGCAGGACAACCTTGCTTAACCCCCCGATTGGTGGGAATATGGGCGTGCAACTTTTCAACATAGAGTTCATACGTGCAGTGGTGGAGCCAAGACAGGAGAAGCTCGGCGGGTGCCCCGGTGATGCCTGCGTCCTGAAGGGACTCTGCTATCAGATGTCTGGGGACAAAGTCAAAGGCGGAGGTCAGGTCCAGACATATTTGCAGGCCGCCTTGAAGGGCCGGTATCTTGCCGCCCGCTTTCTTAAAGTGTGGATCTCGCGCACTAGGAGTGCGCAGACCGCGAACAGCATCATTGTGATGGAAGACCCGTTTGAGAGCATCCGAAGTAGACCGCCCTGAAATGTAAGCAAATTGTGGTGATTGTCGAATGTAACCCTCTAAGTCATGTCGGAGTTTAGAGATGATCATGGCCATATGTGCTTTTCCTAATGCGTCCAACAACCCAATGGGCCTAAAGTCTTTCGGGGAGGACCCTGTCTTGTTGGGTTTGAGAAGCAGTGAAAGCGTGGCGGAGGTCCAGGGCTCAGGGGGGTCAAGCGGCCCGTGTGCCCACTTCTCGTTGAGAAGAGGCTCCAACACAGGTGCGATGAGATCAGAGCAAAGCCGCCACGCGGCCCCAGGGGCCGTGTCAGGGGCTCCAGCCTTCCGCGCCGGCAGTTTGTCCAAGAAAAGCTGAATCTCCTCCTTCGTGACCTCAAGATGTTGTTCTGGAGTGGAAGAGGGAGCATTAAGGAAAGCCATATGATCTATGGATTCTGAATTGAAGACGTGGTAGAAGTGTTTGCGCATGGTTTCCAATTCCTCAGCTGGGGACAAAATGTGGCCGCCTTTGGAAAGCTGGAATTTGCGGAATCTACCCTTAGGAGCAAGTCGATCTATCAGCTGATAGAACAAACGACTGTGTCCCTGCCGTATGGCTTGATCGGCCTCGTCCAGCGTGGTGAGGCGTCGAGCTCTGCGCAACGCCTTGCCTTGCTGCTGGGCTGCGCGATGCATGCGCCAGTACTGTACGCTGTGTTGCCAACATCGGAACATGGCCTGCAGGTTTCGATGTGCCGCGGGTTTTCCAGACCAGCGCCTAAGAGTCTTCAGATGACCCCACATGCGGGCGGCATAACGCTGAAGTGTGCCGTCTTGCCAGGGTCTGGGACCCTGGATGGGGGCTTTCTTAGGGAAGTGCTTCACAGCCAACTCGTGTACTACCGACTGTATAGCATCAATGGCGTGACTGACATCCGGAAGACGGAGCTGAAGGTCCCGGCGGAAGTCATGTACCCGGTCGTCGGTCTTGCCTGCCAGAGCATCGGCGATGGCATGTCGGTCTACCCCAGGCGGCGGGGGACAGGTGGAGGTACGGTGCCAGGGTTGCCAAAAAACAGGTACATGTGCAATAACAGGGTGGTGACGTGCACCACCCCGCCACACTCCTAACGGGTAATCGTGCGCCGCATGCGCCTTCTTGGAGAACCCATCTGCCATCTCACGGCGTATCATGACGAAATCAATGTGAGATCGCTGGGTGCCCCAGGTATAGGTGTGAGGTGGATGATCTGCCGAGGATGTATTAAGCACACAGAGATCCAGCCCAAGAATACAGGCCTGGAGATCCTCTTGGTCAGTGGCCCAGCCGACAGGCTGCGGCAGCAATTGGGGACCTATGTGCGGTGGGGAGGGTACACAGGAGGTGTTGAAGTCTCCACCAATTATCAGGAGGCTTCGCTTGGGAACCATCTGGACAGTTTTTGTGAACTGATCCAGTGCTTTGTGGCGCAGGGTCCTGACATGTTCCGTGGCTCGCCACGTATGTTGATAAAAGTTAATCACATCACAGGGCTGTGCTCCCTTTTGGAATTGCACTCTAAGAAGGCGACCTGGCAAAACCTCAAGATGCCGCAGCGAGCCTGGATCAACCAGTTTGCGGGAGACAATGGTGAGGACCCCTCCCTGTCTGAAGTCCTTGGCTTGAGAGCCACTATGTATGAAAAAGTAGTGGTGTGTGGACCAGCAGCTGGTGAATCTCCACTTGGTTTCTTGGACTACCATGACCTCTATGGGGTTCTGATGTATGTGAATCAAGATCTCATCGTACAACCCGCCCCCTAACCCTCCGACGTTCCAAGTAATCAAACGAAGGTGTTTGTTGTGTGAGTGCCCGGGGGTCTGGGTGCTACGACGGCTTCTAGACTTGGAGGATCGTGTGCGCTCTGCACTGCAAGGGAGGGGTGGGTCTGCTGGAAGACAAGAGCGAAGATTTAGCGTAGAGGCTGTCTCACTATCGTACCAGTGTCCCTTGTACCACGCTCCCCCGGTGCGAATGATGCGTCGATGAACACGCTGCAAGGATCGCTTAACAATTCTTTGTCTATGTGTAGATGGCAAAGGCGACGCGCAAGTCGCATCCCGTGTTCCCAGTGGCTTCGCAGGAGCCTTGCCTGATGCGGGAGTGCGCCTCCCTGCTTCTCCACCGACCTGGGAAGCCGGTGAAACCCTCGCGTCTGACACAATGGTTGCACGTGCAGTGTGTGCATGCAGTAGATAGAGGCCTAAGCGAAGAAAACGACCTCCCAAATGTGCACCATTGTGCCCCCCGGACTTGGGACCGGGGGAGCCCTGCTTGCTTTCAAATATGTGTGCAAAGGGCATTCCACTGGACGGTGTGTGTGCTGCCGTTTGTGGTGGGGGGGGGTGATAGGTATGAGGGAAGGTCTGCTGCTGCTTTGGCACACTCAACAGTGGGATACTGACCCATCGAGGATCCGACCGTAGCCCGGTGTGCAAGTTGTGCAAGAGCACATCGCAGAAGGCCCGCAGGTACCTGCCTGGGAGATGCAGTGCACGAATCAAGGCACGCAGGCGGCGTTCCCATCTTGACGCATTTAGGTGGCTGCATGAAGGCGGGGAATCGCCCAGCGTGGGAGGGGAACTAAGGGTCCTAGAGCGAGACCAGCAACGGCAACGCCTAAACCTGCCACAGCCCGAGCCCAGGGGTGCCAAATGAACAGACGGCATTTAAAGAGAGTGGGCAGGAACCACCGAACCCCAGGCGTCTCGCGGGTTTGAGTCTCCAGCCTGCTTTGCTGCGCCCGGCGACCCGATTGCGCCAAAGGCAGCTCCTGTAGCATCCAACCATGCTGGGCAGGGTGTGAGGAGGATGCAGTAGGCCATGTAGTGAGACTGTGGGGGAGACATTGGGGGAAGCAGAGCCCTAAGAACCTTAGGCGGGAGAATGCATGCAGACTGGAATCGCAATACCAAGGGGTCTCAATGGAAGGGAACAGGCAGTCGTTGAGACCAGCATCCGATCCTAAAACCCCGAATCTCCCAATCGCGGTGCACAGCTTCGTGTATGCCGCCGAATGCCCCCGATCACGCACGTACTCCTGTACACGCTCCCTCACAATCTGGAGCACCGGTGTCCATGCGAAGGCTTCTGGCGGTGTGCCAGCCTCGATCATGACTTCGCCCTCTCGAAGACGTTCCTCATATGTTTCTAATAGCGCCACCCTGAGTATGTAGGGGACCTCCGCACAAGGCGGGGTTCTGGGAGCAGCCACAGCAAGCTCCGTCTCACCTGAACTGCCCACATCGATGTCTGCTGCCTTTGCGTCGTCAATGTCAAGAGCAGGCGGTGCCGTTATGGTGGTGATCGCGTCTATAGCCAAGCTCTCTTGGGTAGAGACAAGGGGCGGGATCTCCGTCTGTTGTGCAGTTGGTGAGAAGGAGGCCTGTGTCCTGGGACGCTTTTTGGGTCGAGGTCTTAAGAAGGATGTCCCTGCAACGAAAAGTACTGCATCCTCATCATGCGGCTCTCCCAAGGAATGAACAGATCCATCCCCAGGAGTGTTCCCCTGGCCAGACATCGTTGGCAGCGCGGATCGACCCTCGGAGGTGCCGGCTGATGCACCAAGTCTGGTGGAGCTCGCTGGGGGTTCGGAACGATGCGTGGACAGTGCAGGGAGCGGCCTCCCTAACGGGGGGAGAGACCCTGCCGGCCAATGCCGTCTCCCATCCTGTGCAAAGCCCTCCATGTCCACCCTCAGCCGCTCCAGCTGACTCAAACTCAAATCAGCACCTGGAGCCGCCCCAATCCATACCTGTATCGAGCTGCCGGAGGACCTTGTCGGTCTGTTGGGCATCGGCATCGCCAAACGGTGCGTATCCACTGGTGCAGCCAAAGCCCTTACACCGGATGAAGGGTTGGAAACATAGCCAGAAAAAGCCTGTCGTCCACTATCATCGGCATGCACCTGTGCCCCTATATGGGCCTGAGCATATGGACGTCGAAGCCGGGATGCAAGTGCCATGAATGCGTCCGGTGCCATATCTCTTCTCAAGAGAGATTCCTCATCCGGTGGTCTGTCGGCGGCTACTAGGCTTCCTGCATACAGCGTTAACGGACGTCTGATCCCAGAACCAGAGCTCGCAGAGGCCGATGCCAGAGGCACTGCACTCTGTGACTCACTGCCACTCGACGAGCTTTCGGAGCTCTCAATCGTCTCTATGCCAGTCTCAGTCGTCGTCCCATGTGCGGCAGCTGCCGCCTGTCTTCTCCTTTCCTCTCTGACCCTTCTAGGAGGACGGATAGCTTCGCGTGCGTCGTCCCTGGGCCTGCGTCGTCGTCTACCGCGACGTCCCCGAGCCATGCCGACAGGAGGCTCTGAAGACTCTGGAGGGCTAAGGATACAGTCGGCTGCCAGTCGGCTTCCAGTGCTGAGTGCTGAGGGTAGCAGGATGCCCTGAAGGTATGCAACCCTGGGAAAGATACTCGCCTGACACGGGTCATACAAGCTCCTCAGGCAATCAAAGCCCTGAACAAAGGAAGCCCAAGCCCGTTCCTGAGCCGGTGTAGCAGGCGCAACAGCGACAAGCGCACAGCTGGCTGTCAAGTCAATGTGCAGGTGTCGCAAACAGGCGCGCACATTTAACACACTCACAACCCGGTCTCCTGTGTGGATGGTGGCGGCTTGGGCCAGCCACCGCCACGCAGCGCTGCGTACCTGTGGGGATGGGCAGTGCAGTATCCTAGACATCCTGAGTGGAAGAACCTCGAAGAAACGGGAGGGATTGCTGGAGCACGCGGCAGGCACTCGGTGAAGGTGAAGGAGGCCATGGCTTGGAGGCATATGGCGAGACTGGCAAGGGTGAGGGGTTGTGGTAGGGTTCTCGGATTCGCCTACCAGCCGGTACCGGAGTGCACAGACTAATCCATGGAGTTGAGATCCAAATTGGGTCTTGTCCTAGGGGAGAAGCCACTATGTCCCGAAGCCAAGCGACGTGCATGTGCCTTGGCGTCCGATTGTGTGGCACCGCGGCATGTAGAGCACGATGCAGTCGATGAGCTTGATGTTGTAGAGGGTCCCTGTGGTAGTCGCATTCCCTGATAGCGCAGCACGAGTCCCTGGAGTGGCCCTGTAGGTGCACTTGTGTCTCTGTTGTCCAACCAGCGCTGTGTTGCTGTACGAACTGTAAAGCCAGACCCAGACCCAATAAAATGCTCAGAGGCCATGTCAGCATATACAGAAAAGTCAGAGGCGCCGATGGGTATGGCGTGCAGTCAGGCCCTGAACCTAAAGGAGGGGGGAGGGGAAGGGGAACACACACAACCGAAAAGAGTCCCGGGGCACTCGTAACAATCTCGGGCCCAGACGCTTGCTGCCCGTCTGTGGTAGTGGCGGCGGCTGTGTGAGGCTGCTTTGCTCCCAGACTTCGAATTCAAGCTCCTCTTCTGGTAGGTTGGGAATCCAACCTGCTGCAGTGTGTGTCCATGTCGTGCCTGCTGGCCATCCCGTGAGGGATTCGGGTGGGGGTTGGCGGCGGCTGTGTTGTGGTGGGGACGCTTGTCCCCCCTGCTTGTGGCTGCCCCATCCTCGTTGCTCCTCTTTCTGCTGCCGGTTGGGCCATCGGGTGCTGCTGCTGCTCCCCGTGGTGCGTCGCTCTCGCCACGAAGTTGGTGAGCATGTAGCTCACAAGTGCTAGCAGTGCCAGCCTCCCTCGGCTAGCTTTGGCTGCTTTAGGTGCCATTGCCCTGCGAGGCTAGCGGTGACACTAACTTGGCTGAGGCTCGGGCCTGACTGCGGCGGTCGGCCAGGTTGGTGTTCGGGTCTCCCCCGGCTGCTGCACAGACTGTCAGTAACTGCAGGCTCAACTGTGAACATGTGGCATGCTGCAGAAGAAAACCGCGCAACATGAAAAACCATGCCCTGCTCCCTCGCACTCTTGCTCTTGCAGATGACAGGAAGGAGAAGAAGGAAGCTAAGAGGCGGAGGGAGAGGCAGGAAGGAATTAGTTGTGTTGTGTGTTGCAATGGGGTGCTAGCAAACGGCTGTTCCCCCTTTAATTCTGGCTGCGAAAGGTGCTGGCAGTGTCTGCTCATAGCCCTCTCAGGCTGGGGCCTTCACTGTGGCTAGTCGAGCAGTCTGTTGGCTGCCCTTCTGGCCTGTCTGCGTTGCTTGATTGCTTTAGCGCGTCTTCCATCTTGTCTGGTTTGTGCCAAGTTCTGGAGTTGTGCTTGCTTCCCCGAGCACCAGGGCGGGTCATGCGCTTCGACGAACCTTTCTTCGAGGGCTCCCCATGCTAGGCGATCCCTGGCTACCTCCCCCCACTTGGCTCCCGCAACAGCTGCAATATGTCTTTCCGTATCCAGGCTGCTGTTGAATCTGCTGGCATGCCGTGCTCCTATCGTGTCGGGTAGGGCCTGTTGTTGCCACCACCAGTCCATCCCCCTCCACAGTAGCATCTCGTAGGTGACATCCTGTGCGCGCGCCACATGCCCCCATACTCCCCAAATCATGCGCAGTATGTAGGTAGACCACCTTTCCACCTTGTTCTGGTGGAGGTGCACTCTTACCATGCGAAGGCTCCGTTTGTTCCAGTCTGCCCATGCCTCCCCCGGTGCGCGCGCTCCCCCCACCATGCTGCGCACATGCTGCAACTGCTGGACGTTGGCTGCCCGTAGGAGTGTGTCTTGTACTGGCCATGTCTCGGCTGCCCAGAGCGCGCTTTGGCGCACGAGAATGCTGTGAAGCTGCAGGCGTTGCTTGAGCTTGGTTTTGGCTGTGAGGAGTGCTTTGTTCTTCCCCCACGCCTTCCTTGCTCTTGTCCCCATCTCGGCTGCAAGTTGAGGTGGTCCCCCTTGGAAGCTGACTGGTGACCCGAGCACCGTCAACGCTGCATCCCCCGATTCTGGTGTCACCCACTCCCCGTCGATGTGGAACCTGCGGGGGTCATCTGTGCTGCAGATGATCTTTGTTTTCTTGGGGTTGATCCTCAGCCCGTGTTCGAGCAGGAGTTGTTGCAGTATGTCAAGGGTACGTTGCAGATGTTCGTGGTTTTCGCCCCACAGGTATGTGTCATCCATAAAACTCCCCCCATGATGGGGGGGCGGGGGTAGTCGTGGCTCGCTGCCTCCCCGTGGGTCTTGCTGCGTCTGGGCGAGGGTGTTGACGAGGCACTCCCCCACCATTCGTCTGGGGTACGGTGGTTTCGGTTCCCCCTGCCGCCACTGTCACCCCCCGTGCCTGCAGTAACGCCATCCAAAGCCTAGCCTCCCATGGGTGATCAGCTCCCATTCGTCGTTCGACCAGGTCTGCAAGACTTGTCTGCGCGACTGAGTCGAATGCTTTTGCCAGATCGAGTTTGATGATCCAGCACGCCCCCCCTCCCCAGTCCCTTGCCATCCTGGCAACTTTCCTCAACGTCAAGATGAGTTCGGTGCCTTGGCGCCCCGGCGACGCCCACTGCAGGGCGTTGTGGGGCTTCAAGGTGTATGCGCATCTGCGCAGGAGCAGTTGGGCAATCGCCTTAATTGAGGATTGCACAGCTCAGGGTGATGGGTCTGGTCTCCCCCCAACCCTGAGGTTGTGCCTCCTTTGGAAGGAGCACCGTGAGTCCTCGCTCCACGGCTGCCGGCAGGCTCCCCATGTACAATGCTTCGTTGAGCATTTCACGGAGCCGGTGCTCCCAGACAGGGTGCTGACGGAGTGCGTGTAGGGCTTCGTGCGCAATGTGGTCCGGCCCCGTGCTTTTGCTGTTTTTCCACCTCCCCGCCACCCCTTGCAGCTCATCTGACGTGAAAGGAAGCCATGGGGTCACCTTGCAGCGGTGACAGAGCCGTTGTCGCCTGGCTTCGAAGTCCGCGTCCCTTGCTCCCCCGTCGGCCTTGTGGAAGATGCTCTTGAAGTGGGCCAGCAGTGCCCCTTGCCAGTCGTGGTTGTCCGTGAGTGCTGCCATCCACTGGTCCCCCCCGGCCCCTTTCTTGTGTTGTCTGTATGCTGGCCAATCGTGCTGACTGGCTCGGTCTGCCATTGCTTGTTTCCATTGCTTGTGTTCGGCCTGCAGCCGTTTGTGTACTCCCTTCCATGCTTGTCTCCTCTCTTGACCCGGCGCTGTGGCGTGTGCTGCTCGGCGCGCCCGTTTTAGCTCGGGGCTTTCCTCGAACTTGGCTTGTTTGCTCCTCCCCGGCTTGGTGATGAGTTGGCTGACATGTGCAATCTGGCCGTGCCGGTCGCCTGGGGGGACGGTCGCCTCTTGTTCCAGGGTGGCCTGCAGTTGCTCCGGCTCAAGGTGCACATGTCGTGGCCCGCAATGTCCCTTGGGCTTGGCGAGCTTCGGGGCATCCGCCCGCAGCTGCAGCACCACAGGCTCATGGTCCGAACGTGCCATGTCCCGGACGGCCAGCACTTCCCCTTGCACTGAGAAAACCCCCCGAATCGCCACATAGTCCAGTCGCCTGGGTTCCTGTGTGGAGTCATATGGGAAGTGGCTCGGTGTACCGAGGTCCTGGGGTGGCAGTCGCATAGTGTGGTGTTGGAGCCATGCAAGTATGTTTTCCCCTCTTCCCGTGTGCCCCTGCGCCCGTTCCTGCTGTATTGTGTGAGGTGATGCTGTAAACTGCTCATTGGCATCGATGCCGATGACGGCCCTGCTGCTGCGGAGTGCTCTGCTTGTCCCCCACTGTAACATGATGGCTTGAGCTGGCGTGGTGGGGCATGTGTGCGCTGAGCAGGCCCCACTTCTTCCCCGCAGGGTGGTGATGATCGTGGCAACCCCTGCTCGTAGGACCTGCGTGGCTGTGTGCGTGCCGATCCCCGCTCTAAAGGCAACCCCTTCCCCCCGCCATTCCCCCAGCAGCTTGCCGTAGACAAGAACCCATGACTTGTTGGAGGCAAAATGCCTACCTGCTTCGGTGATAACTTCTTGGAAAAGGACAACAGCAACTGAGGAGAGCGCTTTGTTCCCCCCGAACGCTTGCAGCATCTCTAGTGCGTTTGCAGCTGAGAGGCCACCCACGTTCCAGGTCGCGACGTTGAAGGTCCGTCGCTGTTCCCCCTTCGGGGGTCGAAAAGGTACGTGAAACTCCAGCTCAAGGAGGTCATCTTGTCCTCCTTCGCCGCCGCTCTCTGTCGGCTCGGTGCCTCAGCGTAGGGCTGTCTTGAGCCCCGCCCATTCATCTTCGACGTCTCTGGCTGGCTGTCCGACTCCCCGGGCTATGGCTTTGAGATTGATCCAGCCTGCCCCTGCTTCGTCTGCCTCCGGCGGCTTTGTCGTAGTAGCTGAGCAGACACGTACTCCCCCAAGCCACACGGTACCTGTTGGCCATTCAGCCTCCACACGGTCCAGCGAGTTGTACGCGGCGACGTCGTTCGGGAGACTGGGAAAGCTGCAGCCAGAGGTACTTGGCTTTCCCGTCGGCGTGCGCCCCCATCTGCACGTTTGCCTGCCTGACCCGGCGCAGTGCCCCCGTCAGTCTGTCACGTAGCTGCTGCGGGTCTTCCCCCTCCTTGGCCGAGTACGGGATGATTGCGTACCCGCGTCTCACCCCCGGCACGAAGGCTTGCTCGGTACAGATATCCAGGCGGAGATCTTTGACAATCTGTTTCATCTTGGCCAAGGTTTCGTCGGCCGGGCTGTCATCACTCCACCCGCCCATAATGAGCGCCGGTTTTCTGCTCCCCGCATCCGTGTCTGTCGTGCTTGCCGTGCCTGTCGTCTGGAGCACCTGGACTTTGGTCTCAAGGGCCTGGAGCCTCGTGTTCATGGCATACTTCCCCCTGGATGTTCTCCACGGTCCTCTGTTGCTCGTGCTGCTGGTTGTTGATGGCAGCCAGGCGCTCGAGGGTCTTTTCGAGCTGTGCGGTCACCCCCGTTTCCACTCTGTCCATTCTCTGTCCGATTTCAGCCCTGAGGGCGGCTGTGCTGCCCCCCACTTCGCTCCGAACTACTTCCCGGATGGCCTCAAGACTCAGCTTCTCCTCATCCGGCGCCCCTCTCTTCTTGGGCTGCGGGCTCTGAGGGTCTGATTGCATGGGCTCTGCCATCGCCCCCACACGTAGGTGCAGATCTCTACGTTCGCCTCCCTGCCACTATCACGATCAGGTAGTTGAAATACTCCCCGTTCGAGGTAGCTCTTGGGCAGAATCGCTGTGGCGTGGTACCCCTCGCGTAGGGCCGCCGAAATTGTTCAAGTAGTGGGTGTCAGTGTTCCGAAGGATCTGGATATAGGCCGCCGATCCCGATGTGGACCGATCTTTACGATGTCCCCCCGGCGGACCGCCTCAGTGAAGTGCGCACTCTAGGCGATGTCGCCCCCGCCGCTGATGGCAGACGAGAAAGGCCCTGGCAGAGTGGCGCAAGCCCTGGTTGAGACCTGCCGCCCCCCTTAGCAGAAGCAAGAAAGGAGAGAAAGGAAAAGAGTGGGGCAGAGTGGAGGACGGCCAGGCCTTGAGCACTCGCGGCTTGAGCCAAAATGGCTACGAACTTGCAGTTTCTCTCTCTCTCTCTCTCTGCAATACTGGAGCGGTCGTAGTAATTGCAGGGTCTCTCTTTCTGCAATACTGGAGCGGTCGTAGTACTTGCAGTTTCTCTCTCTCTCGCGCTCTGCAATATTGGAGTGGTCGCAGTAATTGCCGTTTCCCTCTTTCAGCACTACTGGAACGGTCGAAGTAATTGCGGTTTCTCTCTCTGCATTACTGGAGCTGCTTCCCACAAACCGAAAGTTGGAAGATACCGTTACCGCATCAACTGGTCCAAACGCCGGGACCTAAAGTTGGAAGATGGGACCAAGTCAAACCCAAAGTTGGAAGATGCCGTTGCCGCATCAACCGTTCCAATTGCCGCCTTCCAACTTGCCGGCGGCTACTGTATATATATATATATATATATATGAGCGAGTGAAACTTGCTGCAAGTACAGAGCATTGCAGAGCCATGCGTCCACAGCTCCTTCCGCCTATTCCGCTAGCTGCGTTGGCTGGCATCACGGAATAGGCTGCAAGCCCCCTGCAGCTAATCGAGCACATCCGGTTCATCATCTCAACACATGCAGCACAGAATGTTGTACATCTAGAAGACTCAGAATGCTTAAGAACAGGACTTTCACACAAGCAGGCCACATACGAGCAGCCGTTGGAGTTGGCTAGGCTACTCAATGCGCGAGTTTCGGATGGAAGAGTCCACAGACACGTGCACGGCGTGCATGCCAGGGTTAATTCGGTGGAACCCTATATCTGGCAAAAGCAATGGCTGCAATACTGGTCCCGTGGAGGGCTCCTGAGCTGGGCTTCGGCCTATCGCTGCCTTCGTTCCGCTTGCACACCTATTTCTATGCCACGATGATTGCTGTACATGTTGCTTCGGCGTGCCACCCCTGGTGTGCAATGGCACATCTTGCATCAGGCGCATTCCCTAGTCGCAGGTTGGCGGGAATCTTTCATGATGCAACGACACATGTAATGAGGGCCTGGGATATGAGGAAGCTTTCGACACGGGTTCAGGATTGTCGTCCAAGGCACTCCCCTGTGGCCTGCTTGATATCGAGCTGCTTCAGAGCCCTGTACACCTGGCTCCAGCAAGGAAAACACAGGGATTCGCTCAAGAGGATATGGAGCCGCATGGTGCGCTTGCAAGGTCGCACGACCTGCTTCGGATCAGCATCATCATCCAGATCCAGGTCTTCAGGCTGTATGATGGCCATCCTGTGAAAGTGAATTGTGATCACGAGACGTACAAGGTGCCTGTCCCGGCCTCAGATACATCATCATTTCGTTGGTGAAACGATCACGGTAGAGGGGGAAAACGCCCTCCACAGAAAAGCAAAATTCTATTCGCAGGCTTTGAGTCTCTCTTTGTACGTGGGCCTCTGGCGGAACCTCCATCTCGTCGAGCACCCGTTTCTTCACCTTTGCGAATATCGGGATGTCATGGCCCGCAGGAAGGATACAAGAAAACCCAGTCATCCATTGAGACCCCCTCGTCGGCAAATGGACTGGTTTCCATTAACTGCCCGGCAGCGATTGTCACGGAATCCTCCAGCAGCAAGGTACTTCCACTTTAAGCGACAAGATATCTACTAAAGTGCCGATTTTGAGAATTCTGAGCACATGACAAACTGCTTACATAAGTCCTGCGTATTCCTCTCCATGCTGAACCCGTACAACATCAAGAGCTGAGCATTGGATTTTTTGCCTCACGGCACCAAGGTGTGCATGCAATTCCCCAACAACCACACGACCTACTGTAGCAGGCAAAATTCATGAAAGCGTCTCAGGCCGGTTCCGTATGTTATGTAGATCTGCTCGTATTTGTTGTAATACCTGACACATCAGACATCACCACGTGCTCCAACCCACTCGCATTGCAAGCGCATGGATGACGCACCGAATGTTGATTGTCCCTGCTGATCCCCGATGTCGCAATCATACAACATGGCAGCGAACTCCAACATCACCCCAGAGCGAAGCGGTGTGCTCGTCCTCCACTCCCCAGCATGTGTTGTCGTGAGGACCACGTGCAGAAATGCTTTTTTGGGCGAGCACCTGTCTGCCAAAAAACACAAAAGTCGTTTGGACATTCAACCCCAGAACCCAGACTACATAAACCCCTAAGCCCTGAAGCCCAAGATCCCATGCAGGTAAACCCTCCCTAAACCTGGCGTGAGGCTTGGCGAGGGCTCGTTGGCGCACATGAAGCAGAACCCAACGGCGACACAAAAAACGGAACATGGGGTCTTCAATGGCCCCTGCCTATATCCTTGTGTTCGTCACCACGGCTTTGCATATCAGCGCAAAAACATCACGTAGAAGCAGAAGCTCCCAAGGAACCGGAGGATCTCACGCTTGCACAGAGAGCAGTTGCAACAGCTACCTGTCTCCCGCAATTTTGTTCATGAACATTTCCAGGGCAAACCCATGATCGAAACTTGCTGCAAGAAAGACAGCGCTGCCGCTGTGCCTATCAGATCTGACGACCACGTAGCGCTCTGTGGAAGTGATGCCCGGCACATTTGCACCTTCACTGACCTTTGCTGAATCTCTCACTGTGACAACGAAACTACAATTTTTGCCGCACACCAGGCATTTTATCTCGTAAGCTTCCGGCTCCTCGGATTCTAGACTCTGAGTTGGGGTTGTGGTTGATGAGGTCAATGTATGGAACCAGAGCTACCGTGTCCTCTTCGTCTTGACCGTCCTCGGAACAGAGGGCAGTGACTGATGACGCATGCCGCATGCCCTGCAAGCCACTGCCATTCAGGAAAATCCAAACTATGGATTCGCATGGGTTAACATTCAAGGAATATCCTAAAGTTCTATGCTTCTCCTCCGTATCACGCGGACAAGTTCAGGCTACAGCATGAAGACAAGAATTGCCTCAATCCTTGGGTACGCGAGTCGGGACGGATGACACAGCCTGCACCTGATGTGGACTATGCCTACGCTCTGGTCCAAGAAAGTGCCCAAGTATGCCCAAGTATTCGAAGCTTCATCTGTCTCTCGGCCACCAGCCCACGTTATGGAACGGGCACGTAAACATGTGCTAACTAAAGCTCACATCCACGAAAAATGCAAGCTTAGCTCCTCGTCACGTAATCGGTGCGATCGCACCGGCTCGAGGACTTTCCAGCTTGCGGAACTAAACAATGGTCTGCGATACTCCCAAACGCGGCAACACTGCTACTCTTGTAGCAACTGTGCGGTTTTGCAGCAAGACCTGAGACACAACAGCTGTGGCTTTCAAGCTGATTGTTTGACACTGGCTGCAGGGGTATGCAGTATGCAAACTACGGAAAGTAGAGCCGTTCGCAGAAGCAGAACCACACAGCAAACGGCATACAAGCTCTTCTGCTGCGTTCCCATTGCTAAGTCTTAAGCTATTGTTTGGTAATGGGGGAGTGTGTGATCGGAGAGGCTGTAAAATGGGACGGCCGACTGAACAAGCGTCTGCAGACATCCGTCCCAACCTACCCAAGGCCTAAAAGGAAATCCTGGCACAGCTTGTTCTATGCCTGCTCTTGCTGGGCTTGCTCAAAGTTCCGCCACAATCCCCTGCGCCGTATCAAACGCCAAGAATCAGGGAAATCAAGCCGCACAGCTCGGCTGAATAGAATGGCATAGGCCCAAACCTCCGAGCGCAGTCAGCTGTGTGCAGCAGACAGGTTTAACATGCATGGGGTGTCCGTGGAATGACTTTCTAAGGTGCAACATGAAGAACTCGGCTGTGACTCTTTGTCCTCGCTCTTGTCGAAAGACTCTCAGGCCGCAGAAAATTTTATCATCTTATTGTCACGTGGGACATCGATGCTTCGTTTGATTGTTGGACATCATCCTTGGATCCTGAAGCCAAGCGATTAAATCATCTCATCAAACGGCTTCGCTTCCTTTGGCAACCATCGGAGCAAACATTTTTGCCTGAAGAAGTCAGCCTCCACACCTTGCAGTCTCCTGCGTGACCGAAGCCCTGACGCGACACAGCGAGCTATTTCCATGTGAATCTGCAGTTCACGGTGACTTGCTGCACGGATGTTGCGGGAGTCGTCGCTTGCCGCTCGGGAGGAGCGGTCACTCCATGTGTCTCCTTCTGCTGAGGGAAGTCGACCGTCTCACTCTGGGATGGAAAAAGCCAGCAAAGACTGGCTGCCGCTTGGCGTGAACTCGCGCTGTCATGTGCATGACGGATCAATCAACCGCTTCATGGTGCCGGTTCTGCTGAACCATCAGAACACCTGCGCCGTGGTTTTAGCTGATGGGCGTGTGTGAGCCCAGCAGCTAACAGCAACTACACAAGAAGTACACCCTCGCACCAACGAGAGACAAGAACGCTGTTGCAATCTGAGGCTGCAACATAGTTGTCGTGAGTAAACGCTTCAGCAGGAAACTTCTCCGGAAACTGCTTAAAGATCGTAGCCTGCCGGCAATTCTGCAACAGCATCAGCCTGATAGTCATGGTTGCAGAGCGCCTGGTGTCGTTTAAACTCGTCTCGCACCTGCTCCTTCAAATACAAAGACCTCAAGAACAACCTATCAGATAATCAGCTCAACATCTGTATGATCTCCAGCAACTTCAGCACTATGCTTAGGCCCAGACATGTTTCGGCAAATGCTTCCGTTCAGTAGTGTATTCAACTCCTGGACTCATGACCCGTTCTGGGTGCCAGGGTTGCAGGCCGAAACGCATCAAATGATTTGTGCACACTCAAAGACACAATGTAGACGTGAGGAACTTGTCGACATGTCCGTGGGCCTCCTCATTATGGAAGCTGATGATGCTAAAATCGTGGTGGTCTAGATTATGATGGCGATGATGATCATGACGGAGTTCATGTAGGACTGTCGTGACGGAGTTGGCCAGTGTGATCAAAGCCTTGATGCTATGACAACTGTGGGGCTGTTCGCAAAGCTTGCAAACAGGTCTATCGAGGTGGTAAGCTTTGCAAAGAAGGCAGGGAGGGAGAGGGAGAGGGAGAGGCAGAGGGAAGAGTTAGAGGAGAGTGGAGTGGGGAGGAGAGGAAGCGAGAGGAGAGGGAGGCGACATGCACAAACAGAATCTTGAAAAACTTGGAACACTGTGGATCTTCTGACACTGGACATGCAGCCCGTACCGAAACAGCAGCCCGTCCTCGTCTTCCCAAGAGAAGGAAGCCCCTACCCTTTGCTGGATTCAACAAACCGCCAAGAGCATTCAAAGCAGATACGAGGCATCGACTCTTCTGTGGACGGCAGGACGGCGATGTAAGGCGCCCAAAACGACTCCTCCTCAGATGATAGATTCTGCCTCACATTCCACTTCGAACTGCTAGCAGTCCTTCTTGACAAACTTCTCATAAACGAGATGCAGTGCGATGGCAGGGTATTCACCTCTCGCATCGCTAGTTGTTATGGTGTGCTACACTACCAAACAAGGCGGTGGGATCAGGAATTTCCCGGGCTCTGCATTGTCGTCACACGGCACTTGAGCTTGTGCTGTCTCCACCAAACAACTTGTGTCGTCCGTCCGTGAACTCAGATATGCCCTGCAAGAGATGAGGACGATGCTCATGTCTGAAGGGATGCACTCCTCCCCGAACACTTCGCAAGAGCTCTCCTGCACCGCACTGCATCTGGTCAGCGATCGAAAGTGGATCCGAAAATGCTGCCTTCGTCAACAGAAGTGGCTTCCTCAGATCAGCAGACCGCCCCTTGCGGAAATCATCAGGCACTTCCGGATTCTCAAACTGAAGGCCCGGCGGAACCCGAGCCAAATCCTCGTACTGCTCAATGTCCTCGGGAAGTCAGTTGATAAACTTGGGATCCGAATGACGGTTCACACATCGTAAACACCAGAGCTGGGGGATTGGCACGACGAGCGACTAAACCACGGCCTTTCCAGCAACAACATTACGTGCTGGGAGGACCGAAAACAAAGCCCTCGCCTGAAACTTCGTTTTCGGTTTGCTCGCGTGTCTCTACTGCCATGGACACACCAGCAGCCTGGCATGGTACATAAGTGTTTTGTTAGCGCACACTGGCAGGCCCAGAGCCCAAGACCCGCAAATCGAGCTCAGAGACACCGGTTGACCCCATGCGGCAGTCTCGGAAACCCAGACACCATTCGTTTCCTGAGCAGACGCTTTCTCATTGGCCTTCTTATCAGTGACTGACTTTTCTGTCCGAGTCTGGTGCCAGCCACTTCTCCAGCCGAGAATTCTCTTCGAGCTTGCGGCGTTTCGCAGCTCCCCGACCTGTCGATGTTAAAGAAGCACCAGAATTCGCAGGATTGTACTTTGATAAACTGTGTCACAGTTCCGAAGCAGGTGAAGGCAGGCTCTGCAACCAAACATCACGGCAGTGAGGCGGAAGGAAAAGACGGAAGATGAAGATCAAGGCAGGGCGCACACAACGAGGGAAGGAATGGTATGACAATGATTGACTCCAAGACTTCCAGATTCGTCACATGTGCAAAGCGACAGCTCCTTTACGGCAGGCTTGAAACAAGAAGAAGGTGCTACCTTGAAGGATGATCGGTGGATTTACTGAGTGGGCTGCCAGTTTGAAGTTGGCAAAATAATCACGAACATCTGTCGTGTCCTGCATGTTTGTATGAAATGCGTCGTTCACAGGTGATCTCCACAAGCGAATACGTTGCAGCCAGGGTCGAGTATGCACTTACAGCATCTGGCACCCCCCAACGCACCCCCAACTTTGACATTAAGCCCGGCTCTGTAGCAGTGTAGCATAAACCTCGAAGGGGCGAAGTTGGTGGCATGATGCTAAAATCTTGTGTGTGCCAGCGCGGCGCCGAAGATGCTCAGGATGCTCGCGGCTCGTTCGACCCTCCATGATAGTTTTTCATGTTGTTCGACAATGACTGCTGATTCGCAGCACACAGGCTCAGACAGCGTTGTCGCCACTGGCCCTTGCATGCGCTGCGGGCCCTAAGCTGAGAAGGTGAGCAAGGGAGAAGATGTCTCTTGACGCGGCTCGAGCCATTTGCAGGTTCAGCATCACCAATCGCTTCAAGCTCGGGAAATGTGATGTAACACCAGCATATTCTATCACTGAGCAGGTTGGCGGACACGTGATTGCCAGTCAAGGCTTGGGGCTGAGAGTTTCCAATGTGTACTCAGACTGGTTTTATGCCTCGTGTTGCCGGTCTTCTCGGCACAAACATCACGCAGCATACACAAAGTATGTTAGCTGGCAACCGTCAAGCTTCTGTCATTGCATATATTGACTTGCCACAACAATGGCCACGCCTTTCAACCAACGCTTGTTCTTGCCAGCTTTGCCTTTGGTCTTCGGCCTCAGCATTCAGACATCAGCCTGCAAAAGATGCAGCAAGAATGCCCTAGATCACTTAACAGACTATGCTCGAGTACGAGGAACAGCGCTGCTGTGGCCGACTTGAGCTTAGGATCCGAGGTGACGGCAGCGAGAGCTCCATGCCAGTGGCAATCACTTCTCCCGTGAGTGACCGTTTCCCGTCTTCTAAGCCCTGATCAGTGAGAGCTTCCCAGACGTACACATCTTGTCGGAAGCCGGCAGGAGCCCAGGAAAACCGACAACGACCCGGTGCCGGCCTCGACATCCGGCAACTTCGCTATCCTGTATCCATGTGCGAGATGGAGCAACCCTCAACTTGCCAAGCTAGCAGTAGCAATAGTAGCATGTAACTCAGAAGACTTTTCCCTCTCTGTGAGCTGCATCATCTGTTTGGGCAGCTTCCTAAGCAGGAGTCGTCAAACGTCCGGGTGAAGCCTGGCCATCCTCCCAACGTTAACCTTCGGGACCAGCCCGAGAACTCTAGAACCTTGCCCAAGACCTCAAGCAGGTTGCCATCAGGCAAGCAAGTTGGGTTCTGTCTGGGCCGAAAATTCGAATACTGTTCCGCTTCTCCTCCATTCCATGGAGGGTCCGGAACGGCCGTCCGTGCGCTACATGCCAATCAGACCGCGTGATCCCTTGCAATCGGCTTCTGCCCAAATTCCTTTGGAAAAGGCACCGCTGTAAACTTCTCGATGCTGGGGTCCACGTCGCCTTTTGGCTTCTTGCCACAACATCGAAAGCACTGCCGGAAGCGATCGCATGCCTCCTTGAGGACACTGTGCGTCATAGCTCTGTGCTCCGCGGCTTTCGGTGTTCCCCAAGTTCGACCAGAAAGCTTCCCGAGGAATGTCGGCAAGCGCTGGCAAGTTGGGACCTTCTTCAAGTCTCCCTCCACGTTGTGCAAGAAGGAGCCGAGAGCACCAAAATAGCCTTCATGCTGCAAGAAGAGAGCTTGCAACTGCTTTCCCTGCTGCGACGTGGAACTGACCCGTCGCATGTTTGTGGCTATAACTTGCCTCGCAACTTGGTTTTGCCGGAGGAAGTTTCCAGTGAAGACTATTTTCGTGACTCCGTGGATCCGGGAGTTCAAGAAGGCGATTTGGCAAATGTTTTGTGATACCATCGTAATCAGCGCATGCAGGAGGGCCGCATCATCGTGTAAGTTCTCTCCACGACCGGCTTTGGCAAAGAAAGAAGCAACCAAACTGCCGGGAAGCTTTCGACCTCCCTCAAGCTCGTAGTCACCTCCATAGATGTCTTCAACTGTCAGATTCAAAGATGAAGAGTCGCCGTCAACTGCCATGCAGCTGGCCTCCGAGAAGTCTTTACATTCTGGGCACAGCAAGTTACAGAGGCCCCAGAAAGTGCCTCCACCCAGAGCGGAGCCGCTGACTCTCTCAAACTTGTCTGTACCATCAACACGAACGATGCTGACCCCGGAACCGATGTTGACCAAAATGAACGGAAACAAGTGGTTCTTAGAAGAATCGATGAAGTGGCATTCAGACTCAAAGCTTTTGTTTGTCCGAGACTCTTCTTCACCAAGCCAACAAACCTCATCCGAAATTGGCCTCTTCAATAGCCATGAGATGCCTTTGACAACGACACCGAGCTCGTCCACAGGCCTGAGAGTGATTCCCAAACGCTCAGAGAAGAGCGCGGCATACTTGTAAGCGCCACCACCGGTTGTAAAAATCTCATCGATATCGTGATGCAGTTCTTGTGCTGCTAGGAGTGAAACAAAGCGTTCCATCTGCTCAGAGCGGAAACACAAAAAATGGAAATATCCTTGAAGCTCCTCATCATAGAACGACAGCTCGTTCTCCTGCTCGCCCCAGAACGAACCTTGTCTGCTGAAGCCGTGCTCGTTGCTTCCTGGAGTTTCTGATTTCGTCTTACCCAAACTTTTGATGACTTCGGCGATACGGCCGTTGCACCAGGATGGTCGAATCTCTGACTCGAAAAAGACGAGCTTCGCTAGCGTTCCACCAATGTCCAGGCCTAAGCGGCTGCCCGAATGCCCACCCCAGTCTGCGTCAGCCATTCCACGCTCTCGGGAACTCCCAAAAGAGTTCTGCCCTGCTCTGAGCCTTGAACTGCTCCATGACCCACAACCCTGCATCTTGGTAAGTGTACCAGGCACGCACATGCTCATTTTCAAGCAAACCACGTGAAAACTGGGATGGCACCGTTGCAGTCCGTTGTAATTAAAGTCTGGCCTAGCGCGAACTCGCAGTAAACTGGCCTCGGAGAAGAGGGTCTCATGCCGTCCAAGGCAGGAAACCTGTCATTCTGTCGGATTGTACGACGCAAGACTCAACACCGGCACGAATGAGAAAGGAAGCTGGAAAACTGTTGGCACAAGTACTGGCAATTTCTGCTTTGACTCCGTCAGCACCTGTATTACATTGATATGCTGGTCGCAAGGACTGCATCAGAGATCTCGAGCAGTTGCAGAGCACATCGATGAGTGGTCGGTCTGGGTGTTCATCGATGGGACGGAGTTCACAACATCCGAGAAAGGTCGTCATGCCATGAAAGAACACAGGACGAAAGCAAGAAATGGGACGGCGAAAGGATCAGAGCACACATGCACACGCAGCTGGTGCTTTATGTCACGCACGAACATCGCAGCGTGCGTTCCGCGGCGGGAACAAACGGGAAACCAGAGTGGGCGTTCCGCGACAACGACGAATCAGAATCCAAACCCTCAGCATGGGCGCCACTCATCACATGTCTTGCGGGCTGTCGTTCTGGAACTTGACCCTGTGATTTCTGAGAAACTCTGTGTGCTCATGAGACACGCGGTAACAGACTGAGATCCCTGCTTTTTTGGACCATCATTCCTTTCCTCCACCTCGGTCGCAAAGCTCCGACGAGTAGTTCGCAGCGATTGAACGCAGCGGATCTCCAAGCCTGGAGGTCCGGCAGTGGCGGTGGCCTCGGCTGCGGCTGCACAGAGCCACAAGGATTCGAGCCGCGAGCATTTCGTGCCGAGTCACTTCATGTCATCTATGCTAACGTCATCATCGGCCATGGGAACAAGCCTTTTCATCAGTGCCATCCAGTCCACTTGAATGACGGCGGTGTGTAAGGAGGAGGCACGACACCATCCAAGTCATCCAGTTGGGTGGCTCGCAATCCTGTCTTGTAGGACTCAAGTTCGCTTCTCTGTCGCTTCTCTGTCTTCTCGCTTTTCGCTGAAACCTGGGCTGGAGCGTGGAGAAGAGCGTGGCTTCCAGCCTCGGCTTTGCTTGAACAGCTTTGTAGCTACCGTTGTGTAGATTGCGACCTGTGAAACGCACAGAAGCGACGAGATGAAGTGCACTTCATGATTTGCGTTCCAAGGGGCTCTGTCCAAGCCATGCCTCACCAGGGTGATGCAAAAGACTGCAGCCTTCGAAAGGGAGCTCACGATCCCTTAAGATCGTGGCAGTGAAATCACGACTGTGTGAAGCAAAAGCCCTGACAAGACGAGACAAGCTTGTTGCAGGGACTTCGATAAATTCACCATCTGACATGTTTGCAAAACATGGCTGGTTGACAGAAATATTCCCACTATACACATCCTGGCAGGGCAGTCGCATGGGCGAACTTCGAAGTGCGATGGAGCCGAGCTTGCTTGAATGTAGCCTTCTCGGTGCCGTCGACCTGCACGGTCTTGGCCGCTCCTGTGGTAGCAGCACATCAAGGCAGAAGCAGGGTTCTCGAGAAAAACACAACTAGAAAAACATATGTGTGGGCCACAGTGAGTCATTCAGTCATTCATCTTTGCCAATGTCAAGAGGCACAGCTCAACTGTAAGGTCTTCACCACAGCAACATAACTTGAAACTTGTTATTGTCCTCGGGCAAAAAAAACCACGTATCGAACTCATGATGCACAAACGGTGGCGTTTACCTGTGAAATGTTTACTGCCTATAGTCTATGTCCAACTTGCGTGACTTCTTGCTCTGTCTTCGTGAAGCGTTGTTGGACCTTGTCCTTGAGAATTCGCAAACATGGCTTCGTAAGTGCTCTCTGTCCTGGCTGATTCAGAATGCTCAGAGTCGCTGTTGGCATCACATCATTCGTAGTGTAGAGAAAATAAATTCCGTTTGCACCTTTCTGACCTTGGCACGAGTTTTTCAGAGTCACGACAGGGTTTTGCGGAGAATGTCCTCTGCCTGCCAGACAACAGCACTCAATACCAGGTCAACAGCAGTGAAATAGAACTCTTCACTTGCCTTCAGAAGGTTGTACACACATGCGGTTACTGGGACCTTTACGGGGCTTTACAAAGTAAAGTAGGGTTTCTGATTGCAGACAAGGCCACATTAAAGGAACTGGATTCGACGAGGTTGAACCGAGCAGAGGGGGGAGCTTCTAGTTTCTAGTTACCAGGGACTTCTAGCATGCAATTGCCACAGTCACAAAACCATCACAAAGCAATCACAGAGCGACAAGCGAAGCTCCCTCCGGCACATGCATTGCAGTGAATGATCACATTCACGATGTTGCAACTCTTGCAAGGTCCTGGTCCGTGAAGACAGCACGACTCGCCATCTTGCAGAAGGCCAAACCAGCTCCGGACTGTGCCCAGGGACTCAAGTTCCGCAAGGAATCGGATTCTTAAGTGTTGCAATCCAATTCGCTTCAAAGCACCGTTTCCACGCTTCATGTTTGCAGGAGATCGATGCCTTGGCTTCCGCATCTGCCAAGTTTGCTTGCTCGTCCGGCGGCATGGTCTGTCTACACCACCAGGGAATGCGACCGTCTGTCTGGCATGCTGAGGAATGCATGAATATATGTCTGAATGCTGAGCCACAATGCGGGTGGCACGTCTTCAGCGAGTTCCTTACAGCAAGACACCCGATGCTCAGGGCCCCATGGCGCGGCCGCGCCCCACTGCCCTCCGCCCCAGCTGCAAAAACTACCCGGAGAACTCTGTGCACGACATGACCTGCACAAGACTTCAAACCTGGAATTACAGGAGAGTCACTCCCCCAAACAACCCAGAGGCGAACCCCGCACACAGATGCTCGACGCATTCTGCACAGTCAGCCCGGGCATGCTGCTGTTTCTGCCCATCTGCCCAAATCTAACTATGTGTCACGTACAGTCTAGCTTGCTCACTCTGTTTCCTGCAGCTGATAAGTGCGATCTTCTTAGGCTGTCACACCCAGCTGCAACTGAATGCTGGCTGGCTTTGGCTGCTGATTCAATGACAAGCTCTGGGGCAACTTGGCAGCACCATCTTCACACTTCAAGAGCTTGTTTCCTGCACTCGGCGTTCTGCATGCATGCATGTCGGCGGGCCATGTCGTTAAGACAAGGCCAGTAACGAATTGCAGGCCTCGATCTGCTGATGAATTGCGAGCTTGATTAGATTCACCGGCACGAGTGTTTGAAGAGCAAGAGTCCGTGAGGGCAGTCTCAGACGAGGATGCCCTCGGCACGGAGACCCGGTCGGGTGCTGTGCTGCAGCAACTTTCAGTCCAGGGTGCGCCTCATTGACCAACAACAAGAGATCGCAAAGCATGAAACTTGAGAAGAGCGTGATGACGACGGTCTGTGGTCTGCTAGATAGGCAACAAGACCGGCTCGGCCGCTGACGGCTTTGGGACCTCATGTGCACATGGCACAGGGTGCCCACAGACATCCGACGGATCAAGTGTAGAAAAGTGCCGAGACAAATGCCTCAGCAGCAGCCACCTTCGGGTTTCATACTCCGGTCTGTGACTACAGCTACTTCATAAGGTCAACACGACCGATCTCAATTCAAGTTGACCATGGCAATGTTTGGCAGTAGGATCACTGATCACCAACAACCATTTCATAATCAAACATCCGCGAATCTTCTCACATTCCGGCATGCCTTGAGAGCTGCACCCAGGCTTTGGACTTCACCCTTGCCTTTGCGCAAAGGTCATATGTGTACTCTGAGACGGACATCAAGCCAAAGCAGGCCTCCGCCTTTGCCCTTGCCCTGCACATGCACCGCGCCGGCGACTGTATCCCCAAGTGTTGGGACTGCACAACCCAAGACTTCTTTCAGCTTTGGCCCTTTGCCTTCTGATGGTGTCTTGGGACAGCAGCAGGAACCATAGGCGCAGACTTCGGTTTTGCCTCGCCCGTTTTCGTAAGGGCCACTGTGTGCCATGCATGCCGCGGGCCTGCGGAAAGCTCTTTGGCCGACCCTTCCTGGCACAAACATCACAGAACAAGGGACGACACTTTTGTTCGCAGGTCACACCTCCTTTGTTTTTGGCAAGAAGCACAGAACCAATCCTCACAAGGACAAATAAGCGGTCACGGCGCAAGAAGAATATCGGTTGGATGAAAACATCCCGGTCACTGACGCAAGATGAGACCGGCGCCCCTTCAGGCACTGCCTTCAGTGGCGGATTGCAACAACCTCGGCTGTGCAGGTTGTCCCCCTCGTTCTAACTCGCCAGGGATGGAGCAAAGAAGTCTGCTCCGAAAGCTTGGTCCCAAAATCCGAAAGCTTGCTCAGAAAGTTTACGCAGGTGCAAAGCTCCCGAAACATCTGAGCAACCTATGCACAAACGCCGTCTTTTCGACTGAGGGCCAATCCCAAATGAGTTGCTACTTCGCAGCCAGGCAGTCCCCCGTCACACCTTGAGACACACGTGACCTCTGAGCCGTGGTTGAATTTGAGAACTGGCCGGGCTTTTCTGCGAAAGTACTCGTTGTGACTGAACGGCACTAAACCGCAACGGGTGATAAGACATGCGTTCAGGATCATGGCACGCGCATGTCGAACTGGGGAGCTTCAGACTCAATCTAGTTTCCTGTCTTAAACGACCTCCTTTACAAACTAGCCACTGACAGCACCCCATACATGTAGTACCATCGGCGTGTGGCGCCCGCTGCCTACTCAGCTGTTGTCGGTCTATACCAGGGGCATTCCGTGTTGCGGAGGCACTTTTCAATCACATGGGTCAGTCCCCAAAACTGCCATGGGTGATGTCTGTGTGCTACAGCTTCGCACGACCCACGGCTAGAAATCCTGATTATGAACCCTAATTTCACAGACTTGGTGAAACAATCTGCTGCGTGGGCAGCTGTACCCACCACCAAGTGTAGCCGATCTCCCCCAGCAGGGCAAAGATCTACCGTTCTTTTGCCGTCCCCATGCACTAAAAGAATAGGTGATGCAACGCGCTCTATTCGATTTGGAATCGCTTATCCTGAGACGGAGCGATTTGCAGGTGCATCGGAGTTCAAGCGATTTGCACGGCTTGTGCAATCAGTGACAACGAGGTGCGGTACCTCGGCCCTTGGCAGACCTTCCTACTCGGTCCTTCGGGATCCGAATCCATAGGCCACATATAAGCCTCAGCAACTGCGGCTCGGAATCGATTCGATCTTCCGCCTCCTGCACGTTCTGAAGTGTGTAAGTCTCTGCATGGAACGTGCATGGAAAGGGGTTGCGGGTTGCCCGCTGAATTGTGGTACTGGAGACTGGAGAATGATACGATCATCAAATCGTATTTGTCAACTCCGGTCCCGCAGCTGCATTGCTTGTGCACTATGCTGGATCGGTCCCTGCTAGGAACGGTCCTTCGCCTTGCCTGCAAAACTGGCATCAGAAGATGTGGGTACACCAAGATAAGTTGCAAGATTTTCAGTTCGAGATCCCGGCCTTTGCTCATGAGTGCTGACTCCAGTGCCTTGTTTGCCTCGTGTAGGCGTCTGGGCCACCTGGCACCGGCATGGACCTGAACCTGTACTTGAAGCTAAACCTAGGTGTGGCTCAACAAGAGTAATAAGGCTGAGGGGCGCCCAAGTTCTACTCTCTCAGCCTCAGACCTAGTCTACATAGATTATTTCTCTGTGGTAGATCCAAAACTTGCCGGATTAGAACCTACCTCTCGGGCACCTTAGGCCTTAGGCAAGCGTAGGCTGCCTTTCTGCTTCACGAAGGGGAGCACTACCTTAGGAGGCGTGGGCGATCGTCATGAAGTCAACGCGAAAGTCCGTAACCCTTTGTTGCTGCGTTTGTTTGGCCTTGTAAAGGACATGCGGTAAGGACGCACGTAAGTGCGGCAGAGATCCGAAGGACCCTAGGGCCGTAGCCAGGAGCGGTTCTGGATCATGGTCACAACAAGCGGGGCTGCCTGACACGAGCGAGTTTCGATCATGCCGGGGCTGGCGCCTGGCAGCAAGTTCTAGATCCAGTTTCACACGGCGTGCGGCGAATGAAATGCCGCGGACCACCCCCAAGCTGCAGCAGGTTGAAGCAGTTGAGTCGAGCACAGCCCCGAGTCATATGACGACCGGGTCGACCGAGCCGTAGGGGCCAGCCGACGTTGACAGATCGAAGTATGACAGTATGACTTGCCGGGTTTCCGGTTTCCCGTTCCTAAGGCCGGACGGCGCGCAGCATGTCAGCACGTTGGCAAGAAGCTAACATACCGAAATTAGATCCCAGATACTGCATAGGCGACCTCAGCTTCACTAGCAACGTATCAAGCCTCTTGGATGATTGCGAGGGATCCAGATCAGGGAGGCGCCACTCTCGTTCGAAGTGTGCCCCCAGGACGCGTAACCTGTTTGAGACAGTTTGCAGAGTACCAAGTGGCCGCAGCGCCGGTGTCAACAACAGCGCTCCCGTCGATCGAAGAAGACGATGGCACGTTCGATCAGACCGAAGATCCTCAGGACTTCGCGTAAGGAGACCCATCGGAAGAGGCTGTTGCAAAGGATACAGAGCTTGATGAGACCAGTGTACCCGGCTTACCAGTTCAGGTGACCCATGCGCCGGAGACACCTGATGCAATAGGCCGCCCACATAGGTTGTTGGTGGAGAAGCAACTGCAGACAGTACTCGACGAGCACTGCACAACGAAGAATGTCATGGCGCGTATTCTCCATCGCAGTGGGCACAAGGTTAGGTTCGGAGAGGTCCATCCTTAATCGAGAAGGACGTTCGACCCCTTGACGACCAAGCGCATGTAGCCGTTTTGCCTTAAATCCACCAAGCCAGAGCAGAGGCACGGAAGGCATTCCTGCATCTGGGTACCTGTAAGAGATCACGTGGTCCTTGCTAAGGACCGCTAAGCAACGAAGATGTCTGGGTTCTGCGAAAACGTCCCCGCGTTGGTCACTGTCAGTCTCTGCACAAAACCTGCGACCAGCACCCTGCCCTGCCAACAGCCGGCGGGCAGGGTTCTTGTGGGCCCCGATCGACGGCGGGGGATCCATCACAGACCACCTTTCGAAGTCGGCAGAAGAGAGCATTGTAGGCTGCGAATTTGCGGAAAGCAGTTTGACCGCAGCGGGAAAAATGTATTAAGCGACATGACCGACAATACAAACAAACTCACATACATTGATGTGAAGCCACACCGCAGGGGCTCGGATCTCATCGACCGAGGCGAGGAGATCCAGCTAAGGTCAGTCGTAGGTAGATTGTCTTGGATATCTCTAGGCAAGCACGGCCGGATACACTATATCGCGCGTCGAAACTTCAGAGTTCCCACCCATGCAAGCCGAGCTTCCCAGTGGTCTTGCGCAGCTTGAAGCCGCCGCCTTTGCCGGCAAGCATTTTGCTCTCGCCTTTGCCACCAGCTAGTTGATCTCTTGGCGATGCGCACCCTCCTTGTCGCTCTCAGTCGGGCCAGTTTAGTGGGGCATGCGCCGCGCATGAAACCTACGTCTCATCTGGTATTCGAGGTGTTTAAACTCTCTTTCACCAACAAGCCTGACCACCAATCCGTTGCTCTGAGCGCTTCCAGACTGTTATCGAGTCCGGGTGCAGTTGTCGCGATAGAATTCAATTCTTCTTGTTCCTGCTTGACCCTTTGATGCTCCAAGAAGTCGTCAAGCTTTTCCACGTTATCTATGAAATTGGGCGGCCGTCGACTGACGAACCTTCCAAAAACGGCACATTTGGGTCAAGGCTGCTGTGTAGCACGCTCGTGTCTCAGCTGAGCCTTCTCACGATGGGGGGCAGGACAGCCTAAGTAAGTATATCGGCCCGAGGCGGTTCGATATGTCAAAGCGAGGAGCGTGCCTGCGTTGTGGGGCTCCGGGTCGTTGGGCCGGCTACACAGTGCAAGTTTCCTGCTCAGACGGGGGAAAGACCCCAGCCACTGCAAGCGCCTGTTGTTCCAGCTCGGGGTCTTCGTAGCTCTCTTCGTCTTCCTCCTCGCCCCAAGTCGTACTCGGTCTCGTTCGCCAAGGCTGGGCGCGAAGTGTTGTTTTAAGGCTCTTGGTGGTCGACGGGGTAACCCTGGTCGAAATCCTGCTGCTCCTCGTGCTCCGGTCTGGTGAAGCCTCGGCCTTTGCCTCTGGAATCCTCTAGAGAAACCCTTCGCACCGATGTCTGGCCTTACCTTTGGCTGTGCAGCGGTGGAGCTGGCAGGGATCCACCGTGGGTGCGTCCGTTGCGCAAGCGCACGCCGCTATAATGCTCCACTACGGTAGCACACACAGGCTCGACACGCATCGGCTCAGATAGCTCGATGCTGTGGTCAAGCGATTTGAACAGCTTCCACCACCGACGGCAGCGACTCACTTGTGATAGCATGCTCTCGCCGCTCTGGCGCGGAAAGACTATGCCAGGCAACTTGGTGATGAACTCTCTAAGACCATTCGGTGCCGACGGCGAACCATCTCGGCTCGAACTTTGATCGCACATGCCGTGGACTCGTTCATGGGGATCGAACCTTTTTACGCTTTTCACGGATCCCGAATCTGCAGCGCGGGTCGGGCTAGAAGCCTCGACCTCGGCATCGGAGTGCGACTCGCCTGCCTCATATTGCCTCATAAAAGTGCGAAGCTCCCGGAACGACGTGGGCACCCCATTAGAGGTAGGATACGGATCTGGTCTCCGATGAAGTACCAACAGTTCCTGAGCAAAGCGGACGAAGGGATAAGGAGTCGAAGATAGTGGGCTCGCCCGGGCCGCCCCGATCCTAAAAGTACTCGCCTCGATGCTCGGCAGGCTCCGAGGGATAGATGCTCCGGTACCAATCGTCGGGCTTTCCTTTTCCAACTGCGTAACCACTCGCTGTGACTCAAGGGCCCCAAACGGCAACGGGTGAGAAGACGTGCGTTCACGATCATGGCAGAACTGGGGACACTTCAGACTAAACAATCTCCAGATGGTGCGGACTTCACAAGCATTGCAACCCGCAAGGCTGCCACAGAAGAAGCGTTTCCTCGGCCGACCAGTCTGTAAAACTGCACATGCTTCAAGTTTGCCTCTGCACTGGCATCTCTCAGTGTCTCAGTTCCGGTCTGGATGATCCGAACGTTCGCAAACTGAACACACGATCCTGCCAGTGCCGGCATCTGGCTTCAAGCACCTCGAGCACTCTCGGGTCGCCTCTTTGGCTGCGGAAGGTCTGGCACCGCCTGCAAACTGTAACAGCCACGAACATCTGAATCCCAACAGACTTCCGCCCGGTGGGGGGGGTGGGGGGATGCGTGCGCCTCCTGTTTGGATGTTTGGGGAGGGACAAGGCAGGCGCGGACACGGAGATTGGGATGATGCAACAGAAAACTGTTGAAAGATCAAGCCCCTACATGGTCTCAATGTCTCTTACGATGCGGCCAGACCAGGTCAGCAAAATCGTGTCGCTTGCAGCTTTGGCAATGATCCATCGAACCGGCCTCCTGTCTGGTGCTCTGTCGGCCTTTGTTCGGTTCCTTCGCAGCAAACAGCGAAGATTGTGCCGACAAACAACTGTCGAAAATGGTAGAGTCCTTGCCAGAGCGCCGCATGTCTTCTGCAGGAGCTTGTGGCTTGTCCTTGACCTGACACACACCATTTCAACTTCAGGCCACATGCTCGAAGACACACGCACGCGCGCGCCTGCGATGTCGGGCGCGTGTCAGCTCTCGCTCTCGGAGCTTCTGCAGGCGCAGGCGGTGCAGGCGGCGCAGGCGGAGCAGTTTGCTGGTCTGGAAGTTCTCGCTTCACCTGCGAAAGGAAGAGCAGTCTTCCTGTCCGGAGCCGTCCGTCCCAGGCTGGTCGGCCTTCGCAAGGGGTGCTTGCACTGGACGCTGTGCCTCCGGAGGTGCCGGAGCCTGACGCAAGCAGAGAGGTGAAAATGAGGCAGAGGCAGACCTTTTGGTCATTAGCTCTGGCCAGGATGCATGGGGCGTCTCGCTGGGTTTGGGCTCATCTTCGTCTATCACGACCTTTTGCCAGAGATGCCAGAGCCAGAAATCCGCATGTACCAGAGACACCACGGAGGGAGCCTGCTGGCTCTTCTGATAGCGCTTGCAGGAAGGACACTGTGGGCCGTCTGATGGACCGCATCTACCTTGGCAACAGCCGATCGAATTGCAACAAGCATATCAACTGTCTGCTCAGACACGTGTATGCCTCATGCCATTTTGAACCACTTTACAAAGCAGAGCTTTGGAAAGCTCAATTCATGGTCTGATCTGAAGAACTTGCCGATGGGGTATGTAACTGTTTCCCGTTCAAGATAGCGTCGGAGGTCAATGTGCTACTCAGCAGGAAGAACGAGAGAAGACAACAGCCACAAAACCGTATCCGGTAATTCAGGTTCCGCAGTGACCACTTGCACAACGAGCTTTGGTCTCTCGGTTTTGCGTCCCGCTGTCTCACCACATGTCCGATGGCTGGTCGTGCAGAAACGAGCACAGGAAATCGCACCTCACGCAACTGCACAACTGACCGCAGCGCAATCGCTGAGGGCTTTGCCATCCGAATCTGGAATGACTCGGACGCCTGAGCCACGACCACAAGTCTTTGAATCCGAATCTGAGAGACTCTGGAGATCTCATGAGAATACTCCTGATGCAGCGTGCCAAGAAGAGTTTTGCAATTTCGCTGAACTGGGAAAACTTCTGCTCCTCAGTTGCCCTTCCGCGGCTGCTTGTGATGCTACTAGTATGACACGCATCGACTCGACCACGACAGGTTCTGTTGCATTGGGTGCACGTTGGCGGCAGGGGCTTTAGCATATCTTCGCGTGTCTCCATGCATCTTCGAAGTTGTTCTGTTTTCCGAGCAAGGCAACGAATCCTTTCAATCGCGGCCCTACCCTGCCCCGCATCGATTGCCCCCACCGAGGGGAACGGAGGATTGATTGACCGGCTGTCGAGCGAATTTTCAATCGGAAACGGGCGACGTCGACAACGCGCCTATGCCGAAGTCGCAACTTCAAAATTCAACCGCTGGACTTAGCGTTGTCTCCTAATCCAACCGACGATGCCTAGCTCTTGCACGATGGGGGCTCATTGCATGCGTTGCAGGCGCGGGGTAAGGTCGCCAGCAGGGGAAATTGGCTTCCAGGGGTGTGAAAACGGTGTCGTGTAACGGAAATCTCGCTCTAAATGCTGCAGAACGACACGCGCTCGCCCTGACTGACGCCTGTCAAGAGGAGCTGCAGCTACAACGGTGGGACACTTTATCAAAACCTGCGGTGAAATCTCTGCTCGGAACCAGCCGGCGGCTGCTGTCACAGTAAGGCACTTGTATATCATTCCCGATACATGCACAGCATCCTGCATCAGCTTTGCAACATCTTATCTACGATCGGTGCAGGACCGAACTGATCTGAGGGTCCGACCCAGCACTCGGCCACAGTAGAATAATCCGGTGTAGCCTTTCAGCGACGGTCCGACCAAACAAACTCTCTTTTGACCTGCTGATCCATCGGCGGGGCGACAGGACTCGTTCCGATTTCTATGTTGCTGGAGGCTTCGCTTCTCAAACACAGGATGCGCAGGGTACTCAAACACATTGAAATCGTTCCCGGAATGTCGGCGATGGACACCACACAACCATTCATGCCCGAACAGGCTCCGATCTTTCAATTGTCAAACCTCGCCTCTCTAGGATGCCAGCCTGCCTCCCCCCTCCTTTTCCCAGGACAGGCTATCCATGCAATCTACAGATCTACGATGATCTACATGTGATCCGAGGCCTATGCGTGTGGATGTGGCAACGCTGTCACTAACGAAGCAGGGTTCTGGCCTTTTGTGGTTCCCAGCATGACAATGCAGCCTTCGTCATTTACATGTCCGGCCTGCGAGGTGAACGCTCAAGACTGCGGCGAATTGACATTGAAAAAACCGAATGCCCGACCATGCCTTGAAGGACCTGCAACTAGCGAGACTTTGCTTTACGCACGGCCGCATCTGTCTGATGATCTGTCAATGGACTGGGCATGACGCTGCTGCAAACGTTGGCACGAGGGGCACTGAGGCCTGAGCAAAAGCAGCCAGCACAACGTTGAACACAATCACTCGCACACACAGAAAAGAAGCGCGGCAGATGCCAGCAATCCGGATCGCTTACACAACAGACGCTCATTGGCCGCCCACCCTTCGCCGGCGCACTTGCCACCCGTACCTGCACGTCTGAAACTTTGCCAAGTGCAGTGACTCTTCCATCGGCCCGTCCGTTCTCGCCTGCTACGACGCCACTCCTGCGCAAAGGCGAAGCGAAGTTCCCCTCGGTCCCTCCCCCCCTCGCCCTCCCGCACCTTCCACAATAGAACAAGAAGCCTCGGTCGGTCACAGAAATCTCATGAAGGCCAAGCGACTTGGCATGTGAGCTCCGGGCAGGATTTCGTGTTCAAGCTGCGCTTGACTGGATATCCGTCATCATTCAGGTCGGGCTGCGAGAGAAGCGAGAAGACAGCATGTCAAGACACTTTACAATGTAGCCCGCACATATTCAAGTCACGGCAACAGGCGACAGCCTGCTGTTAAGTCTGTGCCCATGCGCATTCGTGGTTCGACACCCCTGGCCCTAGCTACATTTTCAAGCTGTCAGAGTGGTTGTGGCACTGGATCCTTTGATGCTTCCGGTCATTTCCGGTCTGTTTCCATGTTTGCATGCGGTAACCCTGTCGGCCTGCTCGTGACTGAAAGCTGTCAATTCTCTTGGTCGCGAGATTCTGTCGCCGGCATGACTGCTCCGGGACGTAGCCTTGAACCTGCTCGTCTACAGATCGCGCAAGGGGATGGACAGCAGTCAACGAATTTGCTGCTTCACTTGCGTGCTGCTGTGGCTACAGCGGCTTGTGCACCGCAACTGCGCAGCAAAGGGAAGCTTGCGGTGTGACAAAAGCACACAACCCACGAGACGATCCGCGATACCTCGAATCACTTGCTGAGTGTCTCGAAATCACGAAAGGTACTAGTAGCGCCACAAAGAAAAACGACGGCAGATCGTGTTGTTCATTTGCTGCCCACCCGGCAAACTCTGGTCAAGCATTTCTAGCCTGTTTGGGCACAAGAACGTGGACGATTTTCCGCGACTTGTCGCCAAACTCCCCAGAACCCTGGCTACGAACCCGTGCAGCAAGTTGTGACATCCTAACCATGAAAACTTGGAAGTGTCAAAGTCGTTCCCTGTGCTCGAAACACGAGATCTCATGTGTGTTCGCAGCCAAACCCAAACCCCGCATTAAATGGGTACCGCCCTTGAAGGAATTACCTGTGGTCACTCCCAGAAAATGGGCCAGACAGTTTGGCTCTAGCTGGCTCCCAAGCTCAAGCCAAAATGTCACAATCGACATATTACGGCTCAGCAATTAAGTGAAGCATGAAAACCCTAGCCTGCCAAACCGATTGCATGTCAATACGCATGCTTTCTGATCCAACTCCCACCTCGTAGGTCGCTTGATACCGAGCACACGAATGGCATTGAGGCCTCAGTATCTCTGACGCCAGTGCCGTCTACTGCTACTAGTACGGGCTTATGCAGCTGCGCCGAAGGCTCCGGCCCTCCTTCCGGGCCACATTGCTCACTTGCACCGGGGATCTCGGCTTCATAGTGCGTGGCATAGTCTCTACTAGCAAGAGACGACTTTGCCAAGGTCCGGACATCCGACGGATCCAGGATTCGACCGCAGTACCACCTCTTGGATTGCATGAAATACTTTCTGGAAAAAAGGAAACGGCTTGATGGGTGTTGCCTTCCCCGGAACCCATCCTGGGTGCCCAGCCTGGCATGCGTGCTACATCTCTCCATCAACTCTGCCCGAGTTCACTCTAGATGTAATCGCTCCGATGGCGGCCTGATCATGAAACCGTCATCGTTCGTGGGCACCTGCAGTGCGTAACGAGTGGAGAAACTACAAAGGGTGCGATGCCCAGCCTTGCCATGTACGTGGGAAGTAAAAGAGAACGTCGGAGCAGGTGCTGCGCTGGCAGACACTGCATCCGCCCTGCGACCGAAGTCCAGGCCAGTGGTGGCTAGTGCTGGCACACGGAGACTTTATCGCTCCTCTTCGATGCCAAGCTCGAAGCCCACCGCAATGTAGATGTCGTTCTGAAGAATGAAGATAGCCCCTCCTCCCTCCCGTACCAGCGTAGCTACGTGGCCTTGGGTTGAAACTGCTTCGATGCTTCCGACTGGAGTGCTAGCTGCTAGCCGTGTGCCAAACGCCATCCACCAAGGCCAAATGCAAGTGATTCATGGATTGGGATAAGATCTGCTGAAACTGTTGGCGATTAGGAGAAGTGTCGATTGTGACATCGATGCTGCTTGCTCTGGTTGAATCCGAGCTCGCCCAACACAGACTGCGCACCCTGCAACTCCAGTGCCCCCGATCTGGGGCATCATTTGCTGTCGGAAGATTTTCATGAAATTACGTGCTTTCTGTTGTAGAAGTATTGGCTGTCATGATAGCTTGGCGCAGAAACACAGAGCGCTGCAACATTCAGCCTAGACTGGAGTCTTGACTGTCACTTCGCCAAGGGGAGCATCATCGTCGGCCAAGCGTCAAGCCTGAACCCAGACCTACCCACATGTTGCTGCGGCCCAAGCGTGCGGCGACGTTTTGCCGGCAGAGATGCCTGTGCTGCTTGCCATGGTGCTTTCAGGGGCGGCCAACAAGCTGTGACGTGATGCTGGGCCGATGACAGCACCTGAGCGGCCAGCACGGCGCTTCCTCACAGGGCCTGACTAGTAAGACTACAGCGACAACAACGGAAATCGAATTATCGAACTAGCAACCAGCGTGTACCTGGAAATGGAAGTGTTCGGAAACTGCTCTTACACTTAGTCGGCTATGTCAGGGACCGAAGCGCCCACCAGATTGTCCGGATGCTTTACTCTGAAGGGGCCAGCGAGCACGAGCTTGGTGCTCTGAGCAAAGGGGTGAGGAGCAAAGAGAAGGAGTTGAGATGGCTTGAGTTGGGGGCGGGCTTCACGAAGTCAGATGATCATCCCTCTCCTCCAATGATCCGTCGGGAACAGTTCCACTTAGTTGACTGTGGAGCAGAACGGGCACCTTGCCAAGCATCTTGCTTTTAGTCTTTGTACGGCGGGAGGCGAGACTCGGCTGGGTTGACGTGACGAGAACCGTGGAGGGATTCGTGAAACCACTACCGAAAGAATCATGATCAGTGGAGGCTACCAGGATCTACCAGGACTCACCGGCACGTCAAACCTCAGCACATGGGCGTGACTTGCGGCCCAAGTCGAGATGCAGTCTTTGGCTGCACGTGGATTCCAAGAATAAGAAGGCGGCGGGCCCCACGATTCAGACGTTGCCTACAGTCCAAGGCCGCGACCCTCGATGTCCGGCGGCCTCAAAGCAAGAGCAGCAAGAGGGTAAAAGCTCCTTGTCAGTGGGGCTCTCCGAGAGCCGTCATCCGTCAAAGGACGACTTTGTCTCACATACCGCTGAGGGTCACGGCCTCGAGCGATCTGGCAATGGCTCAGCCTTGTCAGACTCTCAATGCTTTATACTGGCAAGAGTGCATCATCCTCAAGGCAGGTGCTGTGTATCTCAAACATACCGTGCCAAAACTCACACTTTTGCCAAGGCACGAAAGGAAACATGACAAGGTAAACGTTGCAGTTTTTCCCGGCGCATTTGGGCTGAATGACAAGCGGCTCATTGTCAGCGTATCTTCCATCTGGGTATTCTCAATCTGTCGTTGCAAAGCTATGCTTAGTCTGGAGGACCCCGTGTCCCACGAACCTTCCGTAGCTCTCGACGTGATGCAGTTTGTCTGCTCGATTGAAAACCGTCGCGGCAGACACAGGCAGCTTTGAGTTGACATCATGCACTGCAACGGCCGCATGCGCATGACAGTAAGCCGGCAGGCACAACTTTTCACTCGTCAGTTCCTGACCATATGTCACCAACAACATAGCCTTCCGGAAATGGATCTGAGGGGTCGCAAACAACATCGCAGTATTGTGTGATCCATGCCCTGCCTGATATGGTGGGAACGACTGCCTTAATCGTTTCACATGCAGATGTGATCAAGACTTCTTCCAGAAGCCGTCCGGTAAAGTGAGTTCCCACGATGCTCTCATGCACAAAGTCCTCCTGGAGACCAAGAGTGGCACCTACAGCACAACACAGACACAGGTGGTGACCTTCTGTCCGTCTTTCGAGGCTAACTTCTAGAAAGATTCCCTGTGCAGGCTCCTGGTTCGAGGCCCCACGAAGTGGAAACGCAGAAATTCAATGGTTTAGTATGTCCGGCGAACATCAACACAAACGCCATCCGCTTCTCCTCTCTCCCTATCCCTTTTCTTTCTCTATGTCATTCATTACGCGAGCGCAACTATGTACAAGCGCGTGCTTTGGATTGAGCTACTTACAGCTCACACGTCCCTCTCTCTTAGAACATTACAAGGCACAAGAAATTTCAAGAGTGCCAAGAAGGATTGAAATTTCAACAAAGACTGTTTTGGACCAGATTGGCGTCCTGGAAACCAGCGTCGGCATATGAGGAATGTCGGCTGGGTCAGGCTTCCTCGCAGCTGTCGGGGACCTTCTGGCATTGTGACTGGGACGTCTGTCTGCTTCGTCGTCTGCTCCATTCATTGGCAAAGCTCAAGGTGAGGATGGTGGTTCACGGATTTCTCGCTCTCAATGAACTTCCTCATACCCTATGGTTCGCTGTGTCTTCATGGCCTCCGCCCTGCCTGCTCCAAAGTATTGATACGAGTACCTGCCCGTCGCAACGACGGCAAATTCCCTACCCTTTCCCTCATGACCTCTTTCCACCTGTCGTGTGCAAGTCTTAGCTGGATCGTCATAAAGCTCGTTCGCTGTGGCTGCTACACGGCATACTCCTACACCTGTTGGATACGGTGGTCCTTCCATCTTTGAGTGGTCTCGGAAGCTCACCCGCTCGTGTTGTCACTACTGCTTCTGATAGTCCTTCTCTGTCTACCTCTTCTGCTTCGACTTGACCTCGCTAGGGAAGGAAATCGATCCTCTGACAGGCATCTCTGCCTCGCGTTAGCCACCACATTAAATCGCTGCATCTTTCGCGTGCGTTGCTGCACTAGCGGAAACACCCCCCCAAACTAAGCAGGGCACGGGCATGAAGCTGGGCCATGACCGCAGACGTGCCGGTGCCGCAGGGAGATCTGTCCAGCATCCCCGTCCACGTCTCCGGCCGGTCCCAACTCAACCTGCCATTGGACATCACAACCGCATTCTTGCCGCAAAGGCGGGTGGTGCCACCTGCCATCCAAAGGCCGAACAGGCGCTGAAATAAATACTTCAAGCGACCTCTCAACGGAGACAGGAGGAGAGAGGAGGGAGGAGGGAGACCCGGGGAGGGAGCCGGAATCCGAAGGAGATCGAGCCGATCGAGCGAAGCGCGAGCGGACGACTGCGGTGCGAGAAGGAGCCGCACCAGGCCAGGCCGACAAAGCGGACCGGATGTGAGGTGCTGGCACGATCGGGGAGAGTAGCTGAGATGTGACTACGTAGTAGAAACTTGTCAGAGGTTTTATCACATGCAGGACTCGAAAAAAACTCTCGCGACAACTCCCCGTGACCAGCTCGTGAGACCTCCCTGCCAACTCGGATCCGGGCATGTCTGGGAGGCCTCTCTGCGTTGATTTTCCGTGAAGACAAGGATGTCGCAGCCGGGATAATCAAACTCGGGATGCTTGACGGGATGCTGCTCCCTGCATGCCGTTTTTATCATCTCGCCCAGTCGGCAAATTTCCCGTCCATGCTTTGAGAGCAGCTGCAGGCCCAACGTCGAGGCATCCACTATGGCATAGAACATGCCCCCATACGCAACATCCAAGGTGACTTTTCCAAGCTCTGGAACATCAATCTCAATGTCCATGTCCTCTGGTCTACAGAATGATGCGACATTCCGGAGCGTCACCTGAACGACCTTCCCGTGTTTACAGTCAGCCGACACAGAGACCAAGCCGGCCGGCGTCTCCAAGTCGAAGTCTGTGCTCGGTTCAAACATTCGCACCATGCCGGCTTCTAGCAAAGCCGTTGCGACGCACATCAGATTGTGACCGCTCATAGCCGGATAGACATGTCCCTGCTCCGCAATTATAACTCCATAGGCGGCTGTCGGGTGACATCCCGTTGGTGGGATCACGAAGTTGGCATTCTGGCATGGATACCCGCGGGGCTCCAACAACAGCAGCTTTCGAAAAGCATCGAAGTCCGATTCCATCATGCGAAGCCGCTTCTCCACCATGCTGCGCCCGGGAATTGCTGGTAATCCTCCCAAAACGACACGGGCAGGCTCACCGCCAGCATGGCAGTCGACGCACTGCAGACGCCTCCCAGACGCTCCCCATCCTTCAAATATCGGCTTGCTGGAAAACTTTTGCATTGATGCTCGCGAATACCAGGTACGTGAGTTGAATGCAGTTCGCGCACCTGCGGTCACGAGCCGCATTGACAGATTTCTAGCCTTCGGTGACGATGAATTTGAAGTCAGTATTGCACCTGCTGGCACACAAAGTTGTGCCGGCGGCTTTTTGAGACAACTCCTGGAACAACGGCTGCGCTCAGTCCCAAGGTGACACTCAAGCATCCTTGTTAGAATAAAGATCAGCACAGAAGGGACTCTGAGAGTGTCTGATATCTGAGGCTTCTTTACCGCAGGCATTGCTGGAGCAATACGATCAAGCCACTCACAAAGGTGCCCTCCTGGACAATCTCATCGAGCTCCTGCGACAGTGATGCAAACAAGGAAAAGGCCAATAAGAACAGCCTTGCTCAACCTAAACAGGGTGCGGCGGGCGCGTGCGTTGTGCGATCTGGCCGAGGGCCCTTGCAGCTGCGTGGCATTCCCTCCCCTGTTCTGAACATTGAGGTGCAAGGGTGCAAGACGGTAACAGTAGAGGGTTGAGCACAATTGGAAAGTTCAGCTCAAAATCTAAAGGCGCAAGGTCTCGGCCGAAGCTCCTTGTCTTCGGGGTGTGATGTAATTTCGCATCACATCAAGATCATGAGAAGCCGACTTCCGAACTCAGTGGCGAATGAACATGTACATTGTGCATCAAGCAAGTGTGGCAGCTGTCTGATCTTTTGGTTGAAGCGAACCCCTCGATTGTGAAGCGAAAACAAGGTGCTAGTGTGCTGCTGCGGTCCAGCCGTATCTAAGAGTTGTTGATGTTTATCGCACACGCACGGTGTGAATTAGGTCGTCTCATGAAGCATCCGGTGTCCTCGGGTCTTCCGGATTCGCTTCGGACCTGGCATCATGCACAACCTTTCAATGTCCCATGCGTTTTGCTTCAGTTGAGCCTGCTTTAGCCTTGGCTCTGCTTGTAGCACGTCCTGAAGCAGTGAGGGGGTGGGGGCTGGGTGCTGATCTGAATAAAGATTTCTCATCGGGGCCTGGTCGAGCGTATGCATCAAACCTGCGTCAAGCACGCTGCCGACAGCGACGACTCGCATGGCAAAGCTAAGCAGCTAAGCTCCAAGCCCATCCGTAAGACCATCTGTGGGATCGTCGGTGCTGTAAATCTCTTTGAGAACATCCTCGGGACGGGACATGGACTCCTCTTCCTTCAACTCACAAAACTGAGGGCTGAGCCTTGACCTTGTTCTTGGGTTGATTCTGTTCTTGCTTCCGCTGCTCCAGTTCATCCTCCTGAAAGAGCTCTTGCCTCAAGATCTCAGCAGAGCGAACTCGTTGAAGGCCACACATATCAGAACCAGCAGCCTCCAACCATCCGGATTCAACGCTCTTGCGATCTTCTGTCGTCGGAATTCGTCTTCCTGCAAACTCAGGCAATACGGCAGCGCGGCAGCACAGTATCCAATCGTCACAGGCCACCATCTTTGAAGACCGAGTCTCCTCCTTTTTATCCACCTGCCACTTGTCATAGGTTACCTGGACGTGCACTCTAAATACTCTAATAGTGTGGGGTTGAAAACATTCATCTACTGCGATGGCCTTGCCGCTGTAGGCTGTGATGCCCAGCAACTGGATATGCACAGCATCATGTGGCGATCCGGGCAAGAATATGCTGAGCTCCGTAAGAACCTTGGCTCGCCGCCACAACGGTGGCGACTTGCTCAAAGAGCTGATTGGTCTCCGGGTCCATGCTCATGAGAAACCTTTGCACCAAGCAGCGTGACATGCAGTGCAGCCAGCTGCAGAATTTACGGTTCACGAGTTCGCGATCGGAACCAGAGAGTGATGGAGCAGGCAGTCAGCTCCCTGAAACTCGACATCCAACAACGAAGACATGAATTGGAATCACACCCTGGAGGTGCCTTTCGGTGAGCTCCGAGAGCCGTCGCGCGGAACAGCTCATTCCAGAGCACTGTTGTGAAATTGACACGCGCCTTTCCATCCGAGCTTCTGGTCTGCTTCGGATAGCGGCTTTGTCAGTCCATGCAAGTGCACACGAAATGGATCGCGACGGGGGGAAGACCGCGGGTGCGCCGCAGCCATCTCCGCATGGCGGGAGCTCTGGCTGCGCTTGCAGCCTTAGGCTGGCCACGGGCTTTGGAGGGGGTCCGCCGGGGAGCCCGGCGGCCCTGCATGAGCATCAACACCTATCCGTGTCGTGCAATAGCAGACAGCTGCGTGTCAAGCTGACAATGAGCTACCATTTCTGTTAAGCCGCCGGGCACGCATGCAGCACACATCATGGGAATCAGTTGCGGGCATCAGCTGCAAGCCATGTTTCAAGCCGCCGTCGTGCCACGAGTATCATGAGCATGCATGCTTGTATTTCAAGCTTCCGCTACGGGCAACAGATTCAAGCCACCGAGGCGATGGTGTCCCCTGCACAACATGAGCTTTCAGCCTTCAGCCCAGACCATCTCAGCCTTACTTTTCTGCCTGACTGATGACTGAGAGCGAGCGTTGGTGAGCGAACATGAGTGAGCACAATCGTTGTCAACCGCAGTATGGAGCAGCGGAGACTGCTGTGATTGCTTATGATCCTTTTCCAGGACAGCAGGCTTAACCCAAGGTGTATTGGGATGTCTGCTGATAAGGCTTGTTGCCGCCTGGCGTTCCGACGTACTTGTACTTCTCCGGAGCGTATGCGTTTGCTGGTGGCCCGCGGGCTGGTTGAATGGCAGCTTCGATGCCCAATAAGTTGTCGGCTTCAACCGATGCTGGCATGTGACGATGCTGGCCCGCACCCAGGTCCAAATTTGATTGCGGTAAACCAGGGGGGTATAGCTGGGGGAGGGGGGGGAACCCCTTGGTTACATTTCTGGCTGCTGTTGCGTGTCCGAAGCCCCCCCCCATGTTGTATTTCCAATGCTCCGTATACAGGCTCCTGATTCGGGACATGTCTGGCCAACCCCCCCTAAGTTACATTTCGAACCCCCCCCCCCCCCCCCCCCGCGAGGTACATTATCATTGGGTGCTGCATGGGCATGGATGCTGTATGGTATACATTCGGTGCGAAATCGCCATTTTTCTTCCACCCCACAAGTACAGGTTCTGAGTTTGCTAGCAAATACAAGCAATAGAAAACGACTGTAAACAACATGTTTCTAGAATGTTGAAAGCTTAGCAGAAACATCACCACTCCTTGAGTTATTTTTACCAACCTGGAGGGATTCGGAAAGTCAGAATTTGGTTTGTTTTCTGTGCCCCGCAGAGCAGCTTCAGCTATGGCAAGACACACAGTCCCAAGCTTGAAATCACGCGCTGTTTCCACAGTCCCAAGCTGAGGGAACATGAGGGTCCTGCTGAAAGCACAGAAGTTTCACCGGGAAACGGTCGGATCAGGCAGGGAGTTTCAGGGTGCTGGGTTTAGGGCTTGGGGTTTAGGGTGTAGAGTTCACCGGGATGCAAGGGGGGTTCACCGGGAAACGGGAGGGATCACGCAGTCACCGCGGCTGTTCCAGGGCCCGCCCTGTTTTAGAGGCTTGCGCTATGGCATACCTGACGGGCTTGACATGCCAATAGCTTGTAATGTCTTGCTGGGTTTAGAGTTTCTGGGTTCAGGGTGGATTCCGGGGGTTTAGGAGTATGGGGTCTCAGAATCCAGTTTTTCCGGTTTAAGGTGCTGGGTATAGAAACTCTTGTTTGAAGATTTCTGTTCCGGCTTGGGGTTTTAAGATTTCTGGGTTCAGGGTTTTTGGGTTTTTGGGCTTCTGGGCTCAAGGTTGCTAGGGTTTCTGTGTTGATGGTTTCTTGGTTGGGGTTTCTGCGTTCAGGGTTTAAGAGTTTGGGCTTGTGGGGTTCGGAGTTTCTGGATCAAGGGTTTCTGGGTTCAGGGCTTCTGGGTTTAGGGTTTCTGAGCTCATGCTTGCTAGGGCTTCTGTCTTCAGAGATTCTGGCTTCAGGGTTTCAGGGTCTAGGAGTTAAGGTTTCTGGGTTTAGAGTTGTTGGTTCCAGGGTCTCTGCGCTTGGGGGTTCCGGGCCTCGAATTAAAGCGGGAGCAAAATCGAAAAACGGCATCCCGTTTGTGATGAAAACATAAGCCCGGCAACCCGGAAATGTATGTTGAGGGGGGGGTCTGGGACTTACGTTCAACCATGCACAGCCTGAGTAATGTAACCGAAGGGGGGGTACCCTCTTCCGTATCAGGACCGCCCTCTACGAATCGGCGAACCCCCCGTCGAGTTACATTAACAAGGGGCCCCGGGCTCCCCAGGCGGTAAAAAGCTCAGACACGAGATGAATCTCTAGTGCCACACAGGGCAGTTCGCCATCGCTCCTCCAGTGCAAGAGCCGTCAAGGACCGAAACCCGAAGCCGAAGCGACCCTCTGCCCGAACGCGCCCAGCGGCCGAGGCACCCTTCGAGCTTGCGATCTGCAGTTCAACTCGCTGCACTGGCAACCTACAACGCGCCAGCGGGCTGTTCATGCACGCCAACTACTAAAGGAATGCTGAAAACGTCGTCCCTGCCGAGTGATTCCTGTCTTGCCCCACAGCCGCACGGCATGTCAAAGTTGCAAATTTGTTTCAAACTTCGCTGCGCCCTCCACGTTTTCGCTTTTTCAGAACAACCAGGCTGCATCGTGCTCATGGATGCTCTGCGGGAATGGATGGAGTCTGATCTGGACGTTAATATGGTTGACCCATGGATGCTCTGCGGGAATGGATGGAGTCTGATCTGGACGTTAATATGGTTGACCCATGGATGCTCTGCGGGGAATGGATGGAGTCTGATCTGGACGTTAATATGGTTGACCCATGGATGCTCTGCGTCCATAACATGGACCGCCCATGGGCGATGTGGGTTGTAGCAAGTGCCGAACACACCGTAATTAACGGTGTGTTCGGCATATGACCCTGAGGAAACACTGTAAATACCGAGAGAAACGGCAGGTGTAAAATGTGGGTTTTAGCAGGTGCCGAATATACCTTAATTACCGGTGTGTTTGGCATGCGACACGAAGGAAACACTGTAAATACCGAGGGAAACTGTAAATACCGAGGGAAAGAAGGCGCGCACACTGCGCGTGAATATCCTGCTGGAGGGAACAACCACCGTGTGGCAGAGTTCAAAAAGTTTTGAGGCTTGCACTCAATAAACTTGTCCAGCGGATCTGGGTCGTAGTCGTCGGGACTCAGCGGCTCACATGCCCAAGCCGCAAACCCTGACTGGCAGCCCACTTGGTCTCCAGCAACTGCTTGAAGGGTGGCAACTCAGGCACCTAAGACGACTCGAAGAGCGACTCGAGCTGACCGTCACCTGAAAAGTCGGCAACCGGACCGGCCTTCTCCGCAGCCTGCGTTTCGACCATGTGCATCCGACGACGAGAGCGCATCCTCGGCTTCGAAAATTAGCAGGAAACTTACACATCATCTCCTGGATAAAACAAGCGAGTGCCGAGTCTGCCGAGTCTGTGGCGCGTCAGCTTGGGTGGAGCCTTCCATGAAGGATGGAATCTGCTGTCATTAAGCCTCATTAAGGCTTTGGCAACATCCATGCCTGTGAAAGAGATCGGCTTGAAGGCACCAAGAACGACCTGGCTTGGAAGAGTGTCTGGGTCTGCTAGGCTGCCGGCACTACAGGTCCCGCACAGAGCCCATCAACAAGATGCTCCCAGCTCTGGCATATCTCAGCCTCCATCGGAACATGCTGGCAACTGAAGTCAAGAATCAAACAAACCTAGGCAAGCTACATCAATGGCGACCTTACACAGCGTAACGGTGTATCGCATGTCTGGCCTTCGGAGAACCATGGCAGCGGAGCTACAGAGCACCGGAGCTCAAAATACGATGGTTCGTCGTAAGTTCCGCTGCGTTACGCTTTCCGCTTTCCACAACTGCCTTTCTCATCGAAGACTTTGCTCTCAGGATGCTCCCGGAATCCTCCTCGTGCGACATCCCACATGCTCTGTTCAAGTATCTGCTCAGATTCAGATAAGCTGAAGGCTGAAGATATCGGGGCAGAACAACAGAAGAGAGAAAGACTGGCATGCAAAGCACAATGTGAGACTGAAACAGCGATGGCAGGCGGGGAAAGTGCTTTTCCAACGAATCAAAGATCAGGCGAATATCAGAAGTGGCATCGTTGCAGATGTTGCTGATAGTTAGGCGCTCCTACGAATCAAGTGCACACTGGGAACAAAGCCATGAGGGAGCGCTATGGAGCCGCCGCGAGAGGTTCTGCTTTGTATGCTCAGCTTCAGCAATGGGAGCTGGTCGCCTGCCACAGCGCCAAATGAGCGGCGACTTGAGGCCTAAACCGTGGCAGAGCACCTCTCAATGTCCCTGTCCAGGCTGAAGCGGATCGGAGATAGGCACCTGCACTCGTCTTCTCATTTTCTGATCTCGAGCTCCTAGTGAAAGCATCGCAGCCTTCAGAGGATCAGCCGTCTTCTCCGGGATCATCTGTCCTTTTCCAAACTTCAACATCTTGGGCTCTTTGTCACAGGCTGTCGGGCGGAAACCAGAGCTTGGGCGAAAACTGTGCAAATCTGCCGGGCTCTAAGCGTCTTGCGATGGACGAATGGATACTGGATGCCTGGGTAGTGCCTGGGTAGACTTCTGTGCGGAAACAATGACTGTTCTGCAGCTTGGTGCCGAGCTGAATGAGCCAGTTCTCGCGCAGCTTGAAGTAGAAGTCTTTCAGCCTCGCTCACTCGCTGGAGTGCATGCAAGGGTTTGCGAGCTAGCCTTCCGATACGGCAAACGTTTGCTGAGATGTCCACTCGTTGAGAGTGAAGGCGTGATCGTGGCCCCTGTAGAAATACCGCACCTCAAAACCAAACCTCTGCGCCAGTTGCAAACGCCACAGCCACAACAGCCAAGCGCCCTGCCTTCGCCTGCTCCTGTGCAATCTTTGCCGCTGGCCTGGTGCCTTCGAAGCCAAACTAAGAGGCAGAGGATAGCAGAGCACCGTGCCCAGCCCGGCCCACGTGCCTGGATTGGCGTACGCCGTCTGGAGCCTAAACCTGGCGCAAAAAAGTATGATCAAAAAATTCAACACAGCCAAATCCATGACTAAGCAAACGACTTTGGCGAATGCATGTAGTATTTCTCTCTGCGCTCGATTGGTGCTGTGGAGAAAGCACCAGTCCTTTGCAGCGAAAGCTACCCAAGACTGCTCAGAACCAAGCATCGCCACTCAGCCACAGGCCACCAGAAGAAAACGCACAGCACAATGTATCCAGTGTGATGAACCTCACAGCAACCACAACTTAGTAGGGAGTCGAAGATGACTTGGAGATGTCTGAGGCCGCCGCATTGAAAACGTGCTGGCGAGTCACAAAGTGTTGAGCCCAGAAATACTTCCAGAATGGAGCACGCCTGTAGAGTGTAGGTCTCTAAGTCCCAGCCAAACATCAACTCTGCAGCATCGATCTTGCTCGGTCTCAAGCCGATAGTTTGGAATCTCGAAGGCACCGTGAAGTCCTGCGAGCAAGGGTCTGCAAGTTGGCTGCCGCACATCGCCACTGATGCAACCCCTTGGTTCCTCCGCCATTGAAAGATATGAACTCATCCGGCTTGATGTTGCGCTCTAGAGGAGCGATGACCTGAGAAGACCGCATTCAGCATCTCCGCCCAAATCTTTAGCACCATGCGGGTATTGAGCAAAGCCGCTGAGCGAGCAATCCGAGACAACAGCATCGGCAGCTCCTGCGCTCCGCAGCCTCTCAAGCAGCGATCGAACAAACAACAGACGTCAGACAACGACACGGTCCGCATGTCTGCCTTGTCCTTTGCCGACCCCGCGTGCCCGAGTGGAAACTATCAAAAACTTCCCGCTCACTTTCCAAAATGTCGCGGGATGACTTAACTTGCAGTTCTCGCACGTCTTGACTTGCATGCATAGTGGCACAGCATCGGGACACAAGAGTACGCACCAGAAGCTGGCATGCATGTGGCGCTTTTTCTGCGCACGCAAGTCCAGGCTGTCTCAAGCGGAAGACTAGCTGCACAGTTGCCACAGTGACGCTAGAGCTGTGTCATGAACAGTGCATCGTAGGAAACTGACAGGACCTGGCCCCGGTGCTTCGTAATTTTTTCTGAAGCTTACATCCTGGCTCTATTTGGATTGAACCTACGCAGCTCTCTGGACCTACAGATGTTGAGCTAGCGCGATGACCGAGCTCGATTGCAAGGCCGCATCGAGCAGCGACGGATGCGCACTGAGCTTCTTTTCCCAATCATCCGCATCCTCTTGTATCTGGTACACGGCGTAGGCATGGGCTTCAAAGTCGTCGCCTGCCAGCACGTGCTTGCTGAACAGTATACATGTCGGGTTGCCTGGAGACGCCTGATGCAAATCTAACGATAATCCGACTTGCACTGTTGGGGCTGACCTAGTTACATGAAAGCGTGGGATATCGCTGTGCACGACCTACATAGTTTACATGGTCAAGGGGCGTTACAGTAGATGCTGCAATGTTCCAGAACATTGAATATTTCTTGACGATATCAAAATTAACACGCTAACACGGTCGGGCGATCCGGAGAAAACTGGTCAAGGGGTGCACAAGAAGAGGATGTGACACAAACTTTTGCACCGCAAGGCAAAGGAGACCACAAATCTCCAACTACAACACGCTCTGCATCAGTTCGAAAGAAACGGAACGGCTGATGTGGCTTATTGCTGTGTTCTGTGCATGATGACTGACCTGAAATGGACGGGAGGATGCCATCATAGCGGAGTTATCTTGATGTTCCACGGTGGGATTGCAACACTCGTTCCAACACATCAACAGTGCACGACGTAAACCGAACATGTCAATGTGATCTTCACGATCCAAGGCGTATATGTAATTGAGCCTCCCCATGTGCCGGATGGCTTCCAATCACCGCAAACTGTCCCGTCCCATCAAGACAAGGACGTCATTTCGCAGCCTTTCGCAGGAGTTGTGCGACCCATTGCCACATCAACAGCACGGTACCTGTCCAACTGACAGAAGCAGAAAATGTTGCGGTTCTGCAATGCCGACCTAGGTCCGTAGGCGATGCCGGAGCTGCGGAAGCTCATGTAGAATGCCGTCTTCTCTGCCTCAGCGCTGATTTGCTTCATCAGAAAGCACGGGCCTGATTGCTTTGGAGATCTAACGCTGAAGAGCGGGAGACAGCTGGAGGCAAGCCACTCCCTTGAAAGTGGAGCCCACAGCCGTCGCGGAGGAGGTCGTCGCCACTGCGTTTGCACGGATGAAATCTCCGGAGGCTCCCACGTCCCTGAAATGTCAAGCTGGTATAAAAGCGTCCACTCTGCAAGCCCCAACTTCGGGTCTTTGGTGCCACCGCCTCCGCAAGATGCCTTTGAAGATTTCACGATGCTCCGCTGTCGACACGGGCGCTCTGGACACAGCCAAAGTAGCCTCAGAACAGGCATGGGGGCGGCAGGGCAAGACTCAGCAAATCCTGAATCGTTCTGTTCAGCGAATAACCGAACTGCAAATCAAAGCCACGTATCTTTCTGCAGCAGATTGAAACTGGCCCGCATTCCGCTCTTGCACAGCCTGGGCCATGTCCTTCACCAGTCGCATGGCTTCAGGCCTTGCGCGGCACCACTGAGCTGTGCAAACGTGCGGTTTACTTGTAGGCCTGTTGTGGCCTGTTGGGTGCCAACTGTGGCTCACCACGACGGCTGTACACCTGCCATGTTGCGGGCCTAGAATCCTGCAGGGCCGTAGCCTATCAAGCACGTCTTGCCGTTGCCTCACTGAGAACCGCATTGGCAGATCTCTCTCCAAGCCAGTCTCGCGCACGCCCAAACAATACGAGAGCCTCCTCAAGGCTTAGCTAAGCTTGAGAGTCTTACCTTCGCCGCGACAGATTACAAAGACCTCGAGGGCTTTGAAACAGCTGTGCTTCTAGGAGGCAAGTCCTGCGCATGCAAAAGAGTCTCATCCAGCAGCCCACTGCTGCAGAGTAGCTTGCTGGCCTGGTGAGCAAGCTAAGTCAGTACTGATCGTGCCCAAGAGTCAGAGATCCGAAGCCTCCAGATAAACCTTTGCAGCTGTCTTCATGCGGATCTGCTGAAAAAGCTGCAAAGCTTCCTGCCAACTGATAACAGGGCACGAAGTTGCGAGCTTCTTATCAAGATAATGTCTGCAAGTGCGATCATACTCTCCAACTGCGTCCATGATAGTCGCGCATGGATTGAATTGGCAGACCGGCCGGACACAACACCGGACGAGAAACACCACTCGTAACAAGCACGCAGCTGCGTCTGTTACTTCGGATGCGGAGAAGTCCAGAAAGCAAAGAGGACCCATTCGGAGACGCAGGACAGTAGCAGGAAAACTTATCGGAAACATGGGCAAAGATTCGCACGACAGCCGATGCAGCGCAGATGCGTGGCCTCAGCAACGTCTGCTAAGGGCGCCCTCTGAAGGCTCGTCACGGCGCCATGCGATGAGTGCAAACAGCAGAGCATCGATGAACTGAAAGACGACATCACCAGGCAGGCGACAAGAAACAAGGCGGGAGCCGACAACTGGGCGAAACGCGAAGTGACACTGCAGACGGTTGCTTTGCAACGCGCACCAGGTGCCAGGCCGTGAACTGAAAGGAAATTGGTTGTGCTGCCACCGTTTCAGGCGGTGGGCGCACAGGGCGGCATGGATCTCTAGAGGACGGGCGAAAGAGCAAGGTGCCGGAAGACCACATTGCTCAACTAAACACGCGAGCTCCCTGATCCAGTGTGCCCGCAACGAAGACTCCTGCTTTTGCCAATGCTCCACAACATCAAGAGCAGCTGCCGCCGTAGATT